TGTCATTTTTTTTTAAACCAGCAAATGATGTTGGAGTTAATTCTAGTCACCCTTCTCAGGCAAATTAGTGCAGCACTATAATAACACCTGGGAAATAGAACACTGGAATTAAGATGGGAGGCCATGTTGCTGGTCCCAACTCTGCAAAAAATTAACTTAAGCAACCCCCTCTCAGCATCAGTTTCTTTATCTGCTAGAGGGATTTAAATCCTGTAACAATAAGAAGTCACATTTGCCATAATTATCTACAAAAGATTTAATGTAAATTATCTCAGTGGCTGACCTTCATGGCCCCTTTACTCCAAAATTACATAACTAAGGGAAGAGAATGGAATAATTTTGCTAAAACAGGAAAATATACCAATTTTTTATAATACTAATTCTCCTTTGGAATGTTTATAAGACATTAGCCAAAAGATTTAAAATATAAGAAATGGACAACAGATGTGGTCTTACTTCTAAATTTATAAATTTATATAATTACTATTTTTTTTTTAATGAGAAAGAATAGCATTACCAATAGATGGCCATCTTTGCCTCAAGCCTGACACCACCACCAATTTTGTAAATGTGAAGAAGCAAAAGTACCACTAGATGGAGCAGGACCAAAAGACATCTATTTATTTGTAGTTGTAGGAACTCCCCCCACCCCCCAGTCTTCAAGAGATCTTAAAAGATCTGCGTAAATGGAAGCTTAGTGAAGCTTAGTTATTTTAAGAATCTAGAAAATCAGAAGTAGAACTTCAGTTACTTACCTTATGTTCTTTCCACAAAACCATGCTGACTGGGGAAATTTTTTTTCTTTCTTAGAGAACATTACCAGCAACAATGCATTTTAATTTTTTTTCACATTTAACTGTAATAAGGCTAAGAACTGTATTTGTTAAACAGGACGGACCTATTTTAGGTAATAGGCTGAGATGCTGTAGACCTACAGCATTCATAAATCTACTGACTGGCCCTTTTCATTGTCATGCCAGGATTCCGGCTGGGTATTATTACCCTGATGATTTACCTTTATAATGCAGGCCGCTGGCTACTCTCTCCCAGTAACTCTTCCACAACAGCTGTTTTACAGAAATAAAGACGCTGATTTGCGATGAATCCACACGAAGTCTAGAGTTCGGGTTTGGGGGTGAATGGGAAGAATGGCCTGTTGTTTCCTTTAACCTAGTGGACCGTCAGCTTTTTTTCCCTTTTTTTTCTGGAAAGGAAAACAGACCCAGTTCCTTGGGGGCTGGGCGTATATATACCTTTGAAAACTTTTTCATCTGTAACCACCTAGTACCTTGCATTCAAAGTCAGAGGAAAGGAGAAAGAATGACCATCAAGAAACATAATTTTCATTGTTTTCAGAACGTACTCTATCTTCTCGTTAACAAATAGTTATGACGTGCTCAGTAATCTCACAAATCATTGCTCTTGCACACCGATTGAGGGGACTGGTCAAAATCTACTTTGGGAGAGGCAAAAACCTCAACAAAATCCGCAGAGCAGGAACTACATGGTCATAAAACGTAGGTTAACAAAACCAAAGACGGGGGTTTAGGACAAAAGACCCTACACAGGAACGGCTAGCTGGCTACAAGGCTCACTGCCCATTCCTCTGGGCCAATTTTGGAGGTGCTTTCACATGTCCTTAGGCCACTTTGCACGCACCCTGATTCAATCTGCAGATGTGGAGACCCACAGGCCCACCACCGACGGCGGAAGGAGAAGCACGCACGCACTGGAGTCACCCTGCCAGCGGGAAAGCTGACTGCGGACGCCCGCGGCCCCTCAGCAGGCTACATGTGTCTGAGCCCAGTCCCGGGTGCACGTCCCACAGCTCAGGGAAACGCGCCGCGCGCGGGGACCCGCTCCGTTCCTCTCCCTGCGGCCAGAGCCTCGCTCTTGGCCCCCGAGGGCCCCGCGGCTAACAGAGCCGAACTCTTCGCGGCGGCATTGGGTGCCTCCGGAGAAGCCCCGGGCCGACCGCGGCCTTCAGGCGGGGCTCGGGGGCCGGGCGGGCGAGCCACCGCAGGTTCCCGGGAGGGGCGAGCGAGCCAGCGGCTGACATTTTTTGTTTGCTCTAGACTGGATGGTGGACGGCGGTAGGCCAAGGCTTTTCCGCCCGCTGAAAGTCAGCGAGAAAAACAGCGCGCGGGGTGCAAAAGCACGGCGCCTACGCCCTTCTCAGTTAGGGTTAGATTAAAAATGCCCGCCACCCCTCCCGAGCCCACCCACCGCAACCCGGCGCGTAGAAGGCCGAGTTTCCTTATAAAGGGAGCGGCGCCGGCCGGCCGGATTGGCCGAGTCAGTCCGCGGCGGCTCTCGCGACAGCCAGCCTCACACACGAAAAAGTTTTTTAAGTACATTTCCGGCCACGAGGTCAATCGCCGCCCTTCCCCCAAGTCCCATGAAGGAAGGCGCCGGGTCTTGGGATGTACTTTAAAGATCAAAACTAACTTAAGGTACTTCCAATCTCCGTTTCCATCCCCTACAGACCGGGCGCCGTGTACTCGACTATCCTAAAAACATGGAGTTCACACGAAGATTTTAGGGCTGGGGACACTGCAAAATGATTCTCAAATCTGATGACATTTGTTAGAGAACCTAAAAACAGATTCCCGGGCAGCATTAAACCAGAATCTTGCCTTCGCACGTTGGGCAGCCTCCAAGTTCCTACTCTGCTCACTTCTTAGAATGTCTTCTCTTTAACTGTGAGCAGAGGATGAGTTTTCTTAACTATGTCATTCTTAATCTTAACATTAAGGACTGATATGCCTTTTATTAGGAAGTAAAGGCTTCTCAGCCACTGTCTTTGTTCTCATGAATTGTGGCGGGTATTTATAATAGGTTTTATTGTGCTTTTTTAAGTATAACTGATCTTAATTGTTGAATTCGTGCTCAGTTGGGTGAACTCCGTTTAGTTGTTGCTATTGGCACTTAGATAAAAAAGTAAAATGTTAGAGGGGTTGGTTTCAGACGATTTTGAGGGCAGGGAAAATCCAAACGGAATTTACACATTTTATTTCCTATCCCAAGTTTACCTATGAAAAGAATTATCTGTGACCCCGTATTAGAGGTCGGAGTCTATGCATATTCCAGGCTGGTCATTGGTTTAACTACCTAGGAGACAAAAATAAGGAATGTGTGCTTGCCTAATGCAGCAAGCTACTTGGGGATGGTTTTAAACTTAAATCTCTTAACCTGTTCAAATCTGTTTCTTAATTAATAAAATGGTAATAATACTTGTCCATCTCTCTGGGATGTTGAAGTTTAAATTAGGTAAATGTATGGTTATCCCTCTTTTCTTTTAGAAAAAAGCACTTTTAGAATTCTAAAGTAAGGGGTTGGGATCATTCCAGGTGCTTAGGAATCTAGTGACTGTAGCATCAGTATTCAGACTGCCTTCAGATAATCATTTTCTGCACCCTACCCAGTCTAGTCTTATTTACAGTCACTAAAATGGGAGACACATGCCAAATAATAAAATGTATCTCCTCACAAGTGCTTTACTCTGTACAAAGTAAGTTACTACTAATTGTACATGCCCATCATTTTTACACCTTGGAAACTTTGCCTGAGTGTACCCTCTGCCAGAAACGTGCTTCTAGTCAATTCTCTTTATCTACATATCTGTTGGGAGTGCACTATAGAAGGCATCAGGGAAGGGGACAGAGAAGAAAAGGGAAAAACCCACAATCCTTGTCTTCTAAGAATACATCTCATGAGGGAGAAAGACAAGCAAACTAAAAGATAAGGCTGCATAAATTAAGTGGTCAATTGAAGTACAAGTAATATGCGTAGGACACGCTCAATTTTGACTCCATAAACTAGCATCTGAGCTGGATAAATTCTTAATTCTCTAAGCAAAAAATAACATCTTAGTATATTTTAAAAATACTTTAGGGACATTATCTCATTTGAACTTCACAGTGACCCTGTCCTAATTCCCTGGATTAGCAACCCCACTTCATGGATAAGGAAATGAATCTTCAAAATGTTTAAACGATTTGCTTTAATTGTGCAGCAGTAGGTGGCAGGGCCTGGACCTAAATCCACATAATGCTGCCCCTAAACTCAAAGCAGGGCACTCCATTCTGTTTGCATTCCAGCTGTCCAAGCCCATCCCCAAAGCCAAATATATCAGGAGTCTTCTGAGCTCTAAGGTTTTTCTTAAGAACTCACAGAGTATTTTATACTTCTCTTAGAACACTAAATCACTTTCTGCCTATTATTATTGTAATTAAGGTGTGAATTTCACCTCTCACACTAAACTACTGTCTTCTTAAGGATAGGATCTGACTCCTGATTTAGCATTCATGGCACTGAGCAGATTCTAAGTACCATGAGTTATGTCAATACTGCCATCATTCTCTCAGTTACCAAGGTGATTTCAGACCCTTCTTTCTCCTTCGTGTCTAACCAAATTGGCAGCAAGACTTATCAGTTTTGTAATTTTTTACTTCCTATTGCCTGTAATCTTCAATACAAGACTTACTGTATATCTAAACTAATACCTTTTTTCACTGATCATCAAGTCTGCAGGATCTTCTCAGTCCAATTTATCCTCCAAACTACTGCCACATTCATCTTAATTTCCTTATACTGCTGCTTTGAAATCTTTAAATGTTCCCCTTTTACATACAGGACATTTAAAACAAAGAATTCCAATCCCTGGCCTTAATTTACCTTCCAGTCTGCTCTTAGCTTTATATGAACTCATTTTAACAAAACCAGTCTAGTAAACATGACTCCTATATGCTTTGTTCATTCACATCTCTAGCCCCTTGCTTATCCATTATGCTTTTCTGGATATATGCCACCTTGCCCCCCCCCCCCATCCTAATGCCACCCCATCCATGATAGCATACCTCTGCTATGAAATCTTTTCATGGCAACCATCTTTCCATAAACTTCAACAAACTTAAATCTGTATTATTCATTTGGTACATATCATGTACCACATAACTGCTCTCTCTCCAAGGAAAATAAAAGATCTCCAAGATCAAGAATGTTTCCTCTAGCATTTAATTTAGTTCTACTCAATAAATGTTGAGTGCCTAACCATTATTTTCCCCCATTATAGAAATGCAACAGAGACATGGATGTTACAATAATTGAAAATTCTCTGTTCTTCCAGAAACACATAATACCCAAAGTTTTCTGTCACATATACTCAAAACATTTTTCTCCTTATCAGATTATCCACATTCAGAAGCATCTTTGGTGTACTATGTTGGGTCCAACTTCTTTAAATTCTGCAGCAGTGATCCACATATCCTGGAAGGCAGACAGTGATGCAAGCATAGATCCTCCCATCCACGCAGATAGTTCCCTTTCTGGGGGAGCTGTAACCTGCACAGGGGTATTGGCAGGCACCACCTTTGCTATATCTTTAACTAGCCGCTTCTCTAAACCAGGGAAAGAAGTTGATCCCCCAGCAAGTATAATATTGGAGAAAAATAAATTCCTCAGATCTGTATCACATTTCATTATGCTGCTGAAGCACATCTTATCAATGCCAGGGGTCTCCAGATTCATGAGATAGGGAGAGAAGAGTGCCTCTGGACACTGAAAGAGCTGTTCATGGAGCTTGATCATTTTCCCATCAGGTAGTTGGTAAACTTTCTCTATACAGTTGGGTTTCTTGGCCATTTCCTCTTCATAGTTTATTGCCACATAACAAGAAGTTTCCTTAATGTCTGTGACAATTTTTCTGTCTGCAGTGCTAAGCAGCATGATGCCATGGTCCTTCATCAGCATCATGAGGTAGTTGGTGAGGTCAAGGCCTGCCAGATCTAGCTGCCGGACACCATGAGGCAGACAGTAACCCTCGAAGATGGGCACACACTGGGTAACCCCAGCACCTGAATTCAGCACAAAGCCAGTTGTAAAGCCACTAGCAAAGAGAGCTAGAACCCCCTGAATGGACATATAGAAGGCAGGAACCCCTAGATGCTCAAAAAACACTTCAGTGATCTGTTGCCGGTTGACCAGTGAGTTCAGTGCTGGCTCCGTAATCAAAACCGGCCCATCAGAGGGCTTTAGCTTCAGGTTGTAGTCATAGATATGCTTCCACATGACTTCCATGTCCCCCCAGGAAGAAATGAGACCACGCTCTACTGGGTAGCTGTAGGAAGAACAATGAGATAAATGGTAGCTTTTAATTTTTCCAGTTTCTACTCCCTTCAAACCTGGGTTAATCCCCATATTTATTGCCAGTATCCCTTTGTGGGCTGTGATTGCCAGAGGTTAGAGAACTGTAACTGCCAGAGAAAGTTAGCACAGCTACCTTCTATAGCAATTATTGTTGCTTTTCATTTCCAGCCCCCCTTGGGAGACCTTTGGTTTAAAAAAAAGGGGGGGGTGGAATCTTCACATAACAATGATTTTAATATCAATTAATTGAAGAAAATAACTCAAATGACAAAAGTACCATGAATTAAGTAACATTTTTTTATTAAGGTATTATTGATATACACTCTTATAAAGGTTTCACATGAAAAAACACTGTGGTTACTACATTCATCCATATTATCGTCTCCCCCCTCATACCCCATTGCAGTCACTGCCCATCAGTGTAGTAAGATGGGACAGTCACTATTTGCCTTCTCTGTGCTACATTGTCTTCTCCATGATCCCCCCCACACCACGTGTGCCCATCATAATACCCCTCAATCCCCTTCTCCCTCCCTCCCCTTTGGTAATTGTTAGTCCCTTCTTGGAGTCTGTGAATCTATTGCTGTTTTGTTCCTTCAGTTTTGCTTTGTTGTTATACTCCACAAATGAGGGAAATTATTTGATACTTGTCTTTCTCCACCTGGCTTATTTCATTAAGTAACATTCTTAAGTAAACTATTTTATGAACGATAAGTTCACTTATACGTTTGAATTCCGTTGTATAGATAGATACACACTGCAAGTAATGTTCGCTTTTTAGATGTTTGGTACCCTTGGAAATTTGTGGCCTGCACGTGTGCAATAATGCCAGCTGGCTGAGACTTTTCTATTCCTGGCCTCCTTATCCTGTCACTCACCCCTGCGCCCCTCATCGGGGCTCTCGCTCCCCCTCGGCGCCAGTCTCGCGTGCTGGGGGAAGGTGATACCTGACAGACAGCGAGTTCCTCCGGTCCTGAGCTTGGTCGCCCACGCACAGTTCCCGCGCGCTCTCGGCCGCCCAGCTCTGGCCTTTGGCGCGGCCAATAATGTTCGGGTAGACAAAATGGGGCTCCCGGGACCCAGCCAGGCCCGCCTTGATCACTCCCGAGCCATTGTCGATTACCACCGGTACCTGGTGGTAGCTCATGCCGCCTCCTCCTGCCGCCCGGCCGCTCCCACTGCCCTGGCTGCGGGCTGCGCCGGGAGGGCGGACAGTGCGCGATGCAGACCCTGGGCGGCTTTACAAAGAAGGCCCCAGTGATGCGCGGGGCTGACGGCCTGGAATGCCGCGTCACAGAGGCCCATGCAAGGTCCCGCGGGGCCTGAGCTCTGCTAGTGCCGGCTGGGGGCCGGAGAGCCTCGGGCCCATAGGCTCCGGATGCACGGTGAGCTCCCAAGTACCACCCTCGATTGTGTCTTCCCAACTCCCTGGAATCCAGGAATACCAAGATCAAGAAAAACCGACTTAACTCTTCAAAATATAAATCTAACCCTTCTCTAATACCTCGATGAGCCGTAAAAATAGTTATGTTTCCCAAAGCCGTTGAGCTCTGTCTGGTTCATGGGTGTCGGTCCACGGGTAATCGGGAACCCCTGCTTTGCGCCTTAGAAACTAAGAAAGGTGGAAAGATGGGGCAAGGGAAAGTTGCCGTAGGAGGAGAGGCACGCTCCACGTTTCTGAAACCCTCGTCAACTTCTGAAAAGAAAAAGGGAAAAAAATGCTAGGATTTACAAATGGGTTTTAAAGGCATTTCTTTATACTGGGCATTACTTTGGTGTGTTTCTTTCCTGTAGTTTCTAAGTAAAATATGCTCAAAACCGAATGGTAGGATCTCATTTTTTTAAACCATATATATATATATAGAATACACACACACACATACACATAGGAAATCTTCAGGTTATCCTACGGTATAATACGGAAATTCATTCTCATTTCCTAAAAATTGTTGATTTTTAGGCATAAGAATGTCTGCCTCTGCAGAAAAATTGATATTCCTTATGAAGTTCAGGTTTAGAAAAATTTAAGTACACTGCGTGCCAAGAAACGCATCTTGAGGTCTGATCTTTTATCCCTTCAATTTTGCACATCTTATACAGGATTTTAAAACACAAACGCAAATTAGAACCTCTAGTTGGTCTACGGAAGCAGCGGAGGAAATTGAAAGGCTATTTCCACGTCTCGCCACCAGAGACTGAAATGGTCGCGTTCTGGCTGGTGTAAGCTGCAATGGGGTTTGGGTCTGCGCGCCACTGCGGGAGCTGGAACTCCGGGACCTGGGCGCGGATCGCCCTTCCCGGTTGGCAAAAGCCCCAAAGCCTCGCAACTCTCCCGGGACTCTCGGCAACGTCATGCGGAGAAAGGATACGTAATAAAATATTTGTCCCACACAACAAAGTGGCAACTTGTCGAAGGGCAACTAGAGGGTGTCTGGTTTCTATAGCGATATCTAGGGAGCTTTGAAAGAAAGTGTTTATGCTCACAAAGTCCAATTTTTGAAATAGTTTCAGCGCTGTTCAGTTGGACAAATATTTTACCTCTTCTGATCCTTTATTTCCCGTTAAGGTACATTAAGCTTACCTAACAATATGAAGGATTTCCAAGACCTTTTCTTCAACGAGGTTTCCGTAGTGTAGTGGTTATCACGTTCGCCTAACACGCGAAAGGTCCCCGGTTCGAAACCGGGCGGAAACAACCGATTTCCTTTTCTTCACTGGCTTCCCGGAAAAGAACTATGTAATAGTCTTACCTTGTAAACTTGAACTTTTAGCTTCTGTGTTAGTTCATACATCAAGTGTCTTTATTAACAGCTTGCTACGTGGAAGGGCTCAAGACTTAAAAATTTCAACTCAAATTCTGATACTGAGAAAATAACGTTACATTTAGCCTTCAAGAAAAGATCAAATACAGTGGAAAAACTCCTGAACACTCTTTATATTAGAAGTCATTTGGTTTTCCATTAGTTTTCCCCTTGAGATTGCAGTTTCTCTAAATGCCAGGAGACAGTATTTTATTCCTATATACTTAGTGTCATACTTGACACCTAGTAGAAACGAGTTACTACTGAATGAATTAGTAAGTTACCGAAGAGGGTTCCGAGAAAAGGAACAGTAGAGTCTGAAAAAAATTAGACTACTCATAAAGATCAAGTCAAGGAAGAACCAGCCTTAAGATTTTCTTTATAAACATAACGGTTGTGCTTTTTTTTCACAAATGTAATTCCTACCGAGAAAAAATAAATTACAAAGAAAGCAAACATAATCTGATTGGGAAACTCTCAGGAAAAAAGAAACGAATAAATGAAGGAACAAAACAGCAGCAGAATCACAGAACCCAAGAATGGACTAACAGTTACCAAAGGGAAAGAGACTGGGGAGGATGGGTGATATGGGGGAGGTGGAGAAAGGGGGCATTATGATTAGCATGTATAATGTCGGTGGGGGCACGGGGAGGGCTGTGCAACACGGAGAAGACAAGTAGTGATTCTACGGAATCTTACTACGCTAATGGACCGTGACTGTAATGGGGTTTGTGGGGGGGACTTGGTTATGGGGGGAGTCTAGTAAACATAAAGTTTCTCATGTAACTGTAGATTAATGGTGCAAAAAAAAAAAGAAACGAATAAATTCAAGTTGAGGCTGTCCTTTGAAATTACGAGTAAATGTTGAAGTTTTGCTTTTCTGAGATTTATGTCTGCAGGTACTTGGGAAGAATCAACCTTAACATATCACGATTTATCTTATTGTTTCTGAGTCTTTGTAGATTACGCAGATAACTGGCAACGTTTTCCTTCACTGTACAAAATCTGAATTCTATGTAAATAACCGTATCAAAAATTTTCTACTCCAGACAGAACTTTTTCCGGTTTAAAGCCCACCTTCCTCTGGCATTGCGCATGCCCAGTGTGCCCTACTGCTTTGTTCCGCTTTCGTGCATCTCAGACTTCTAACAGCAGGTAAGGGTTTCCTAGAAACTGGGCTACAATTGACCGATGCAAACAAAACGCAGGGTGTCCCAAGAGCTTTTGGATGGTGATTAGTCTGATTGGGTAATGATTAGTCTTAGCTCAAAAATTCACCACGGCCAAGAGACCGAGTAGACAAAGCAGCTGTTTGCACTCGTCGGGCCTCAAGGAAGGGGAGCATGATGGGAAAAGAGGAGCGACTACAAGCCCCAGCATGCAGTGCGCAATGTGGCGGCTGGAAAGAGAGGCCCGCGGCGTTTCGCTGCCCGGCCTCGGCCCAGAAAGCTGGCGCAGCGTGAGATGTTGACTGTCGGCCGATCAGACTGCTCAGAATGAGGAAGACAAGCGGAGCACTGTAAGCGAGTCCTTAGGTCTCGTATGCATTACACTCGCTGCTTCGGGAGGGTCCCCTAGCATGCAAGGGAGTGGGGTCTCCGTGGGCCAGCCTGTTGCGTCCATTTCGGGTGGGACCTCCAAGGTCCTAGAGGTCCTGCGTTGCCTCGGGACGCCCGCAGCCGGATGTGACATTGCGGTGGAGGAACAAGGGAGAGGCGGAGCGTGGTGCGGTGACGTCCTTCCACTATGGCGGAGAGAGAGTGAAGAAACTGTTTCCCCGTTTGGGTTGCTGTAGGTGAGTTCGGTACTCCCAGCCCGCCATCCCCACTTTCTCCAGGCCCTGCACCATCGGAGGGTAGACTCTTCAGAGTTCGAGCTTAGGTGGGAGCGAAGATGTTACCGTGGAACGTTTGGGTGAGGCAGCCCCGGTGTTGGCCTTGGCCACAGCCTCTGCTGTGGGAATTCGCGAGAGTGGGAGCGGGGCGAAAGGCAGGGCAGCAGAAGCCAGGAGAGCCCTGGCTTGGTAGTCATTTCCCGATGCCGTCTCGAGTGGAGATGAGGAAGAGACGGGTATGTGGCCTCCTTGGGGCGAGTGACGGAACCTTTGACAACCTTTGGCCCTGGTCATTTCTCCGCCCCTTGGGCACCCGCCCAGCGCACTGAAGCGACTGTTGGCACCCTGGAAGCTAACAGGTTTCGGTGATTTGAGAGCAATTTTAAAGAACTCGTATCGTCTTTTCTTCATCTGCCCGAGGAATCATTTTTTAATGGTTAGTTTGTTTTATTCTTAACGTATGTATGCCTACTGATGTTGAAAGTCTGAAGGTTAGTCTGATGTAAAAGCGTGAAATTTTGCGGTGCTTTTTTTTTTTTCAGTTGGTGTTGAAAACACTTTCAAGAAATGTTTCCATTCATAGCCATTTATTGATATGTCCAGGTGATTGTGTTATTTGGCCAGGATGAAACATAGCTAGAAAGGAACTTAACCCTTAAGCATTTTAGCCATATCTGTTTAACCAGAATTTTCTCTGGGGATATGTTATTTTTGTTCATGTTATGTCCTGTGTCCCTTCTCCCTCACGAGTTTCTTGGTTGAAACGTTTGATGAAAACTTAGGATTACTGATTTACTATTTCTTTTTGTCTTTTAGAACAAGGGTAAAATTCTTTCTGATATCAGAATGCATTATTCGCACCACTGTGAGCACCTTTTAGAGAGACTGAACAAACAGCGGCAAGCAGGCTTTCTTTGTGACTGCACCGTAGTGATTGGGGAATTCCAGTTCAAAGCTCATAGGAATGTGCTTGCCTCGTTTAGTGAGTATTTTGGTGCGATCTACAGAAGCACTTCTGAGAACAATGTCTTTCTTGATCAGAGTCAGGTGAAGGCTGATGGATTTCAGAAACTGTTGGAGTTTATATACACAGGAACTTTAAATCTTGACAGGTAAAGTACACATTTTATTTTCACTAGAAGCTAGTCAATGATCTTTAGAGGTAAAGTAGATTTGTATTTTTCCCATTCAGTCCCTGAACTCAGAGTCGGCAATATTGATGTGTACAAATGATGTTATTGTTGTTTAAATAAAGAAGTCAGTATCACAGATGTAGGATGAGCAGATTACATTTCTTAAGCACAAAAAGCACAGGTGTTAATAGGATTTAAAGGCTTGTTACTGACACATTTGATGTATCTACTGAAACAAAGTCTGTTTTCAGTTATGTAAACTTGAAGATTCAACACGATGAATTCAAAGCGAATTCCATTTTATTCTTGCTTTTTGGTCTTTATGTTCCTCTGGTCTTCTTTCTCCCTCACACTTTATTCCCCACCTCTTCAGGTGTTTGAGGTGCGGGAGTGCCCAATGGGAAAAAGAAGAAACTGTTGATTTAATAGTGCTCCCATTTCCAACCACAAAGAGCAGTATTCAGACTCCTTCCTGATCTTCATTCGGGGACAGTAACTTCGTTGGAATGTAAATGGTGGTGATTCTTGTTATCTCTGTAAAGCTATCATTACTAATGTTTAAATTTGGTCCAAGGAGGTAAAATACTTCTCTAATATGCTTAGTGCTGTTAGGGCACTAACAAGGTATCTCAGGAATCTGAGAATGCAGGCACCATATCTCTCTCATACATAGTGAACTGCATACTTATAATAAAACCAAATGCATTAGTTTTATTCGCTGTGGGGAAACAGGTAGAGGAGATAAAAGGAAGAGAACTCAAATTACCCTGTCTTCTTTCTTGCAACTCTAAGGAAGGTGTAAATATGAATAGATCATAATTTTATGACATAGAAAAGCTAGGGGTTTTAGAATTCAATCTCACCTGCCAGTCACTTTGTCTCTTTGAATGCAGCCTGGGCCATAGTTTCCCCTTCTGTAAAAATGAGATGGTTATAATTACCTTGGTATTTCCGTGAAGATTAAGTATTTACTTGGAGGCCCACCTCCCAATGAGTATTTTAAATATTGTATTCTTATCTAGGGGGAAGATTCGATTTGCAGACAGATTATGTTCCAGATTATGTAGTATGTTTGGGAACTTGGGGTCTATTTTCCCAGGGAATAAAAATGTTCCCTAAACTGGTAATTGAATTTCCAAGCCAGCCTATAAATCTAATTAATCTGTAATAGCTGAAATAGTAAAAAACAATTTTTATATTAAAAGACAATTTTTGAAAAACTATTATAATGCTAAATTTAAAAAGAGGAAAAAAATATAGTTGGCACTTGAGGCAAAGCAGGTTTAGTAGCAGTAGTATACTTTCAAAGACCTGAGAGATTCATGTCACTAGTTATTTTTAATTCAATTTCAATTTTTACTTTTAATAAAGATGTAGTAATAGCATTATATTTATTTTACTAGCTATGATTAAAACCCTTTTTTGGTTCAGTTAATGAAGAGGAAAAAGGAAAAATATATTTTTTTCCTGATGAGTTAAATATTTGGGGAAAATGGCAAATAAGGTTACTTGCAGCAGGGGGTGGGGGTGGGGTGTGTGTGTGTATCAAATAATTAAAAGGGCCATATTTTTAGTGTCAGTACTGGCTCAACTCTGATCTTACAGCTAAGAAAATTGATGCACCAAAGATGCTAACTTCCCTAATTAATTCAGCTAGTAAGGCTAGGTCCAATGTACAGTAATCAAACAACCTCTCATTGCATTGTTAACTTCTGGAGGACAAGGGCTATTTGATATTTCTTAATAGCTCTCTTCATACCACACATGGTAGCTGCTCAGTAAATACTGACTGGAATGTTGAACTTAAGTCTTTATATTTAACTCTAATGTGACAAACTCTCCAGCGAACTTGGGTTGAATATCACAAAAAAAGTAAGTGGGAGAGTTGCTCAAGTGTGATTGATGGACCAGCAGCATTGGCACCACCAGAGAGTGTTAGAAATGGAGACACTCAGATCCCCCTACAGACCTACTGGATTTGAATCTACATTTAAACAAGATCCCTGGGTGATTTCACATGCACAGGAAAGTGAGAAGCAGAGGAAGATAATAGGAAAAAAATTTTTTTAGTCTTTATGTTGCCAATTCAGAAAAGTTGCTATCTGAAGAGGACTAGGGATGAATGGCAGGAGGCAGTACAGTGCCAACACAACTTTTGTGTTCCAAGTGTTTTTTAAAGCAGGCAGAAATTTTATTTTACTTTTCTGTAGTTGTACATAGGTAGCTGTGAATAACCATTGTTTTTCATCTTTTCAAGTTCTGTAAAGCTGGAGATTTTTGCCTAAACATTATTCTGAGTGAGTGAATGAATTTCGTAAACTTGTTTTCTTAGTTATGCCTTTTTCATCATTCTACTTCATTCGGTCTTTAAAAGACATTGAAATATATGTGCACCTCTGTTTGAGAAACAGTTTTCCTTTTATCAAAATATTGTCATTTAGCCTTGTTTCCTTACAGTTGGAATGTTAAAGAAATTCATCAGGCTGCTGACTATCTCAAAGTGGAAGAGGTGGTCACTAAATGTAAAATAAAGATGGAAGATTTTGCTTTTATTGCTAATCCCTCTTCTACAGAGATATCTAGTATTACTGGAAACATTGAATTGAATCAACAGACTTGTCTTCTTACTCTACGAGATTATAGCAGTCGGGAGAAATCAGAAGTGTCTACAGATTTAGTTCAGGCAAATCCTAAACAAGGAGCTTTAGCAAAGAAGTCATCTCAAGCTAAGAAGAAGAAGAAGGCCTTTAACTCCCAGAAAGCAGGGCAGAATAAAACAGTGCAATATCCCACTGACATTTTAGAGAATGCATCTGTTGAATTATTCCTAGATGCAAATAAACTGTCCACACCTGTAATAGAACAAGTTGCACAAAGAAATGGTAATTCAGAACTCGAGTTGACGTCAGTTGTGGAAAATACTTTTCCAGCACAAGATATTGTACAGACTGTTTCAGTGAAACGGAAACGTGGAAAATCACAGCCAAACTGTGCTCTGAAAGAACACTCTATGTCTAATATTGCCAGTGACAAGAACTCTTACGAGCTGGAGAGCTCTGGGGAAGAGTTGGATCAGAGGTATTCCAAAGCCAAGCCAATGTGTAATACATGTGGGAAAGTGTTTTCAGAAGCCAGCAGCTTGAGAAGGCACATGAGAATACATAAAGGAGTCAAACCTTATGTCTGCCACTTGTGTGGAAAGGCATTTACACAGTGTAACCAGCTGAAAACACATGTAAGAACTCATACAGGTAAGAACTCTTCTACAGAGATATCTAGTATTACTGGAAATACTCCCACTGATTTGTGGGAGATAAAATTGTTTTTGTACTGTGACCGAGATTTTTTTTATAGACAATGTATTAATATACAATGTTGATTGTTTTAGACCAAAATTTGGTGTATACTTATTGTGACCAAGTATTTAATGGCTGTTTGTTTTATTGTAACTGATAAGCTAAGTCCTAATGCATGAGTTCTTTCTATCATTTTCCCTCCAAATAAAAAATAAGCATAAACTTGGTACAAGCTTGCTAAGTATTTAACAGAGATAAAGATATTAAAACTGATAAAGAGAAAAATTACAACTCAAGCCATTTCTCAGATTTTGTCAACACATCTCACCACCTGCTCCCTAGACTTTGTCAATTTCTGAACATGTTTATTAGAATTACACATTCCTTTCTGAACCTTTACATTTACCTTTATTTATATACTTAGATTGTACTGTTTAAGTTGCAATATGTATTTCTTTCATTGACCACCTTTCACTATTATGAATTGAGAAACACTAATTTCTTTTAATTACTGTTGTTTTCAGTTGTCAGTCTAGAAAAAGATAATCCTATTTGCTTTTTTACTTGTAGCAGTTAATATTTTCTGAATACTGAAACTAGTACTGTTGATAAACTCTTTTGAAAGCTTATATGGCTTGAGCAACTATGACAGTATTTCCTCTTAAATATCAATTTAATTTTTGTTCTTTTAGGTGAGAAGCCATACAAATGTGAATTGTGTGATAAAGGATTTGCTCAGAAATGCCAGCTAGTCTTCCATAGTCGCATGCATCATGGTGAGGAAAAACCCTATAAGTGTGATGTGTGCAATTTACAATTTGCAACTTCTAGCAATCTCAAGATTCATGCAAGGTAATAACAAAAAATTAGTTGTTTGATCTTTGAGTCTATCATTCACTATAGTCTAATGAATGTTATATTAGAATTCAAAACAGTAGAGTTATAATTATGGTTCCACCATACAATATTCTCAGTGTAGTCAAGGAACTTCTAGTTCTTTGGTGGCTGGAGGGGAATAAGTGAGAGAAGGAAATAAGATCAGAATGGTGATAGGGCATCCACATGGTATAAAATTCTGTAGGCCATTATTAAGCTTTTACTCTTAAGTTTGAGAGGTAAGTGCTTACATTTTAAGAGGTTGACTATGGCTGCTATATTAGGATAAGATTGTAGGATTGCAAGAATGGAAGCAAAGGTTTTCAGTTAGGAAGCTATAGGTAAAAGCCAAGTGAGTATGATGATCATTCAGGCCAGACTGGCAGCAGTGAAAGAGATAAGAGTAGAAGTCAAATTCTGGACATGTTTTAAAGATAGAACACACAGAATTTGCTGCAGATTGGATGTGGGTATTAAAGAAAGAAGAGTAGAATCAAGGATGTTCTGTGGTTTTGAGCCTGAAAAGATGGAATCACCATTAACTGAAATGGAGATTTGTGGATAGACAGTTTAAGCAGGAATACAGGAGTTTAGGAGTAGAGAGTTCTGAACATGTTAAATTTTGAGGTAACTTAGCCATCTGAATGGAGATGAATAGTAGACAATTGGTAAAGTCTGGAATTCAGGGAACTGGTTTGAGCTAAAGATGTTAATTAAATACTATCAGCATATAAATAGTATTTAAAGCCATAACCAAGAGAAAGAATGTAGCAGAAGAGACGAAAGGACTGAGTCATGGGGCACTCTAATTTTAAGAGTTCTGGGAGATGGGCAAGAACTAGCAGAGGTGACTGGGAAGAAGCAGCCAATATAGGAGGGAAACCAGAAGAGTAGGCTTTCCTGGAATCCAGGTGAAGGAAATGATTCCAGAAGGGAGTGATGAACTATGTCAAATTCTGATGATAGGGAGATGAAGACTGAAAGTTGAATATTGAATTTTGCAAAGTGAAAGGTCAGTGTTCTTCACAGAAGCAGTGTTAGCAGAGGCTAGTAGAGAAGAGTTTAGTAGAAAAGAAATTAAAGTAGAACAGTTGGAGGCTCCAGTTTTTCATACAGGAGAGCAGAGAAATGGAACAGAAAGTGAGATCAAGGGTCTTTTTTTTTTTTTAAGGTGGGAGACATCATAGTTTATTTGTATGCTATGAGACAGTGGGGTGGGAAAAATGGTTGATGTAAGGATGGGGGAAATAGGCATAGTATCATTAAGTAGGCAAGGGGTATAGTATCATAAGTATACAAATGGGAGTACTTGGATTTAGGTGAACTGTCACCCTCACATTAGGTTAATAGGAAAGAAAGTAAACTATATAGGTACAGATGCCTATGGGTGGATTGTTGTGATGGGGGCGATTTTCTTCTGATCACTTAAATTTTTCTCGGTGGAACATAAAGTAAGGATATCAGCTAAGAATGAGGATGGGTAAGGAGATGCTGGGAGTTTGAGGGAAGAGTTTTAAAGAGTGAGTAAATGGACCAGTGAAAACAATTGCCTGCAACGTTAGGGGTATACATGACAACCATATCAAGTTAATGGCAGAACTTCTTGAAGTGATCTCAACTGATATTTTGATAACAAAAACATATATTTTTGACAGTCTGTATTGAAACTTGATTTTAAATATATATGATTTAATGTCTGTTAAGATAAAATTAAATAAAACACTACGTGAAAAATGCTTGCGATATAGAATGACCTCAAATTGTTTTACTTATTCGCATATATAACTATTTACTAATAGGAAGCATAGTGGAGAGAAGCCATATGTCTGTGATAGGTGTGGACAGAGATTTGCCCAAGCCAGCACGTTGACCTATCATGTTCGTAGGCATACTGGAGAAAAGCCCTACGTGTGTGATACTTGTGGGAAGGCATTTGCTGTCTCTAGTTCTCTTATCACTCATTCTCGAAAACATACAGGTAAGAATTTGCCACAGACTGCTTAGAATAAGGAAAGTTGTGAATGAAAAAAGGGAAATCGAGCCTTTACAAACAAACTTTATAGTTATGTATGTTGTTTGTGCTTCTTGAAGCTCTTTATAATTTCCACATAAGTATTAGACATAAAAGCAGATTTATTTTTTAGAATAATAGTGGTAGGTGAAATTTTTTTATCATGTAACTTATATACATTAAAATGAGATGATTGTGACAGTGTATAAACTTGAGTGGAAACATGTTTTATGATTAGGAAAACTCTTTAGCCTCATATGAAATTTCATTTACTTTGGATAAAACCGTAAGAGTGAAATTAAAGGATGGGGGTGGGCTTGGGTAGATCATTGATTCTATAACTTCTTAGGACTTTTCCTATACAGATACTCTTAAGATTTGCAAATTAAATAGATACCTTAAATGCAAAGCATGAATTTTGTTCAAAGATTTTCATTTTTTGTAGGGTACATTTTTGTAATAGATCTTCTGTAAACAATTTCATTCCCCTTTGATGATATAAAAGGTAGTAAGAATTGAATTAAATTGATGAATTTTCACGTTTTTAATAAAAAAATTGAACTTGTTGCCAAATTCTAGTCTACTAGAAGGACATTTACAGAAATAAAGTTTATTTTATGAAAAGCATCAGTTTACGTGAGAGGTGTGAAATAATTACCAATATTCATTTAAATTGAATCACACTAAAAATACCCCTAAAATATAACATAAAGAGGTTTTAAATAATGTTTTAGCACAGCTTACTTTAGGTTATTGTAATTGATAAATATTATGTTGGTATAGTACACCACTTCAATATATTTTATTTTCCATCTAGGTGAAAAACCATACATATGCGGTATTTGTGGGAAAAGTTTTATTTCCTCAGGAGAGCTCAACAAACACTTTCGATCCCATACAGGTCTGTGTTTAGGGAGAATATATTATTTTTTGTTCTGTAATTTCTTTTTATGTAAACCTTGACTTTTAAGCCATTATGGGCTATATGGTATCTAGTCATACTCTACCTATTAGCAATATTTTAATGTATAAATATCAACTTTCTATTTACTTACATCATTTTTTTTAGTTGTTTTGAGTGTGAGTTAAATTTGGTTTAGAATTGTGTAGATTTTATAAGATAATAAATAAAGTTAGATAATAGTTTTTTAATTATTTCAGTTAATTGTAGATATACACGAAAAGAAAAAAGGAATTAAATAATACTTATTAAATAGTTTTCAGTATGCAATTTTAAGAATATATCTTGTTGTTGACATGTTCATTGTAAAAGGTAGTGTATAAGTAGTATAAAGAAAATACTAAAAAAAATGTTTAAACAAAAGAATATGCCACTTTGAAAATCTGCTATTCTTTTTAAAAACTCTCCTAATTCCTATCTAAAAAAGCATTGACCAGTTCTTATTTCAGAAGAATAATTTCTATCAGTATTTTTTAAGAATTTCCTAATTTGTAAGCTACCTGAGGGCAGAAACCGTAATTTTTTACTCCTAGTTATATCTCCTAGCCAGGGTCTGGCATATCATTGCCACTCACTAAATGTATGATAGAAATAAAAGACTTAAGTTAGTTTTAGTTTAAATTTTCTATTACTTAAAGTGCTTTTCCATGAAATAGGGTGCTTTATATCAAGTAACAGTGCCTATGTACATAGAGGTTTTTATTTCACTATATTAGAACCAAGTGATTAAAATGGCAATTTGAAACTAATATAATGATATTCATTTTGTATTAATAAACATTGATATTTTTGTCTGAGCTTCTAATTGTTTGAGGTGCGGGAGTGCCCAATGGGAAAAAGAAGAAACTGTTGATTTAATAGTGCTCCCATTTCCAACCACAAAGAGCAGTATTCAGACTCCTTCCTGATCTTCATTCGGGGACAGTAACTTCGTTGGAATGTAAATGGTGGTGATTCTTGTTATCTCTGTAAAGCTATCATTACTAATGTTTAAATTTGGTCCAAGGAGGTAAAATACTTCTCTAATATGCTTAATGCTGTTAGGGCACTAACAAGGTATCTCAGGAATCTGAGAATGCAGGCACCATATCTCTCTCATACATAGTGAACTGCATACTTATAATAAAACCAAATGCATTAGTTTTATTCGCTGTGGGGAAACAGGTAGAGGAGATAAAAGGAAGAGAACTCAAATTACCCTGTCTTCTTTCTTGCAACTCTAAGGAAGGTGTAAATATGAATAGATCATAATTTTATGACATAGAAAAGCTAGGGGTTTTAGAATTCAATCTCACCTGCCAGTCACTTTGTCTCTTTGAATGCAGCCTGGGCCATAGTTTCCCCTTCTGTAAAAATGAGATGGTTATAATTACCTTGGTATTTCCGTGAAGATTAAGTATTTACTTGGAGGCCCACCTCCCAATGAGTATTTTAAATATTGTATTCTTATCTAGGGGGAAGATTCGATTTGCAGACAGATTATGTTCCAGATTATGTAGTATGTTTGGGAACTTGGGGTCTATTTTCCCAGGGAATAAAAATGTTCCCTAAACTGGTAATTGAATTTCCAAGCCAGCCTATAAATCTAATTAATCTGTAATAGCTGAAATAGTAAAAAACAATTTTTATATTAAAAGACAATTTTTGAAAAACTATTATAATGCTAAATTTAAAAAGAGGAAAAAAATATAGTTGGCACTTGAGGCAAAGCAGGTTTAGTAGCAGTAGTATACTTTCAAAGACCTGAGAGATTCATGTCACTAGTTATTTTTAATTCAATTTCAATTTTTACTTTTAATAAAGATGTAGTAATAGCATTATATTTATTTTACTAGCTATGATTAAAACCCTTTTTTGGTTCAGTTAATGAAGAGGAAAAAGGAAAAATATATTTTTTTCCTGATGAGTTAAATATTTGGGGAAAATGGCAAATAAGGTTACTTGCAGCAGGGGGTGGGGGTGGGGTGTGTGTGTGTATCAAATAATTAAAAGGGCCATATTTTTAGTGTCAGTACTGGCTCAACTCTGATCTTACAGCTAAGAAAATTGATGCACCAAAGATGCTAACTTCCCTAATTAATTCAGCTAGTAAGGCTAGGTCCAATGTACAGTAATCAAACAACCTCTCATTGCATTGTTAACTTCTGGAGGACAAGGGCTATTTGATATTTCTTAATAGCTCTCTTCATACCACACATGGTAGCTGCTCAGTAAATACTGACTGGAATGTTGAACTTAAGTCTTTATATTTAACTCTAATGTGACAAACTCTCCAGCGAACTTGGGTTGAATATCACAAAAAAAGTAAGTGGGAGAGTTGCTCAAGTGTGATTGATGGACCAGCAGCATTGGCACCACCAGAGAGTGTTAGAAATGGAGACACTCAGATCCCCCTACAGACCTACTGGATTTGAATCTACATTTAAACAAGATCCCTGGGTGATTTCACATGCACAGGAAAGTGAGAAGCAGAGGAAGATAATAGGAAAAAAATTTTTTTAGTCTTTATGTTGCCAATTCAGAAAAGTTGCTATCTGAAGAGGACTAGGGATGAATGGCAGGAGGCAGTACAGTGCCAACACAACTTTTGTGTTCCAAGTGTTTTTTAAAGCAGGCAGAAATTTTATTTTACTTTTCTGTAGTTGTACATAGGTAGCTGTGAATAACCATTGTTTTTCATCTTTTCAAGTTCTGTAAAGCTGGAGATTTTTGCCTAAACATTATTCTGAGTGAGTGAATGAATTTCGTAAACTTGTTTTCTTAGTTATGCCTTTTTCATCATTCTACTTCATTCGGTCTTTAAAAGACATTGAAATATATGTGCACCTCTGTTTGAGAAACAGTTTTCCTTTTATCAAAATATTGTCATTTAGCCTTGTTTCCTTACAGTTGGAATGTTAAAGAAATTCATCAGGCTGCTGACTATCTCAAAGTGGAAGAGGTGGTCACTAAATGTAAAATAAAGATGGAAGATTTTGCTTTTATTGCTAATCCCTCTTCTACAGAGATATCTAGTATTACTGGAAACATTGAATTGAATCAACAGACTTGTCTTCTTACTCTACGAGATTATAGCAGTCGGGAGAAATCAGAAGTGTCTACAGATTTAGTTCAGGCAAATCCTAAACAAGGAGCTTTAGCAAAGAAGTCATCTCAAGCTAAGAAGAAGAAGAAGGCCTTTAACTCCCAGAAAGCAGGGCAGAATAAAACAGTGCAATATCCCACTGACATTTTAGAGAATGCATCTGTTGAATTATTCCTAGATGCAAATAAACTGTCCACACCTGTAATAGAACAAGTTGCACAAAGAAATGGTAATTCAGAACTCGAGTTGACGTCAGTTGTGGAAAATACTTTTCCAGCACAAGATATTGTACAGACTGTTTCAGTGAAACGGAAACGTGGAAAATCACAGCCAAACTGTGCTCTGAAAGAACACTCTATGTCTAATATTGCCAGTGACAAGAACTCTTACGAGCTGGAGAGCTCTGGGGAAGAGTTGGATCAGAGGTATTCCAAAGCCAAGCCAATGTGTAATACATGTGGGAAAGTGTTTTCAGAAGCCAGCAGCTTGAGAAGGCACATGAGAATACATAAAGGAGTCAAACCTTATGTCTGCCACTTGTGTGGAAAGGCATTTACACAGTGTAACCAGCTGAAAACACATGTAAGAACTCATACAGGTAAGAACTCTTCTACAGAGATATCTAGTATTACTGGAAATACTCCCACTGATTTGTGGGAGATAAAATTGTTTTTGTACTGTGACCGAGATTTTTTTTATAGACAATGTATTAATATACAATGTTGATTGTTTTAGACCAAAATTTGGTGTATACTTATTGTGACCAAGTATTTAATGGCTGTTTGTTTTATTGTAACTGATAAGCTAAGTCCTAATGCATGAGTTCTTTCTATCATTTTCCCTCCAAATAAAAAATAAGCATAAACTTGGTACAAGCTTGCTAAGTATTTAACAGAGATAAAGATATTAAAACTGATAAAGAGAAAAATTACAACTCAAGCCATTTCTCAGATTTTGTCAACACATCTCACCACCTGCTCCCTAGACTTTGTCAATTTCTGAACATGTTTATTAGAATTACACATTCCTTTCTGAACCTTTACATTTACCTTTATTTATATACTTAGATTGTACTGTTTAAGTTGCAATATGTATTTCTTTCATTGACCACCTTTCACTATTATGAATTGAGAAACACTAATTTCTTTTAATTACTGTTGTTTTCAGTTGTCAGTCTAGAAAAAGATAATCCTATTTGCTTTTTTACTTGTAGCAGTTAATATTTTCTGAATACTGAAACTAGTACTGTTGATAAACTCTTTTGAAAGCTTATATGGCTTGAGCAACTATGACAGTATTTCCTCTTAAATATCAATTTAATTTTTGTTCTTTTAGGTGAGAAGCCATACAAATGTGAATTGTGTGATAAAGGATTTGCTCAGAAATGCCAGCTAGTCTTCCATAGTCGCATGCATCATGGTGAGGAAAAACCCTATAAGTGTGATGTGTGCAATTTACAATTTGCAACTTCTAGCAATCTCAAGATTCATGCAAGGTAATAACAAAAAATTAGTTGTTTGATCTTTGAGTCTATCATTCACTATAGTCTAATGAATGTTATATTAGAATTCAAAACAGTAGAGTTATAATTATGGTTCCACCATACAATATTCTCAGTGTAGTCAAGGAACTTCTAGTTCTTTGGTGGCTGGAGGGGAATAAGTGAGAGAAGGAAATAAGATCAGAATGGTGATAGGGCATCCACATGGTATAAAATTCTGTAGGCCATTATTAAGCTTTTACTCTTAAGTTTGAGAGGTAAGTGCTTACATTTTAAGAGGTTGACTATGGCTGCTATATTAGGATAAGATTGTAGGATTGCAAGAATGGAAGCAAAGGTTTTCAGTTAGGAAGCTATAGGTAAAAGCCAAGTGAGTATGATGATCATTCAGGCCAGACTGGCAGCAGTGAAAGAGATAAGAGTAGAAGTCAAATTCTGGACATGTTTTAAAGATAGAACACACAGAATTTGCTGCAGATTGGATGTGGGTATTAAAGAAAGAAGAGTAGAATCAAGGATGTTCTGTGGTTTTGAGCCTGAAAAGATGGAATCACCATTAACTGAAATGGAGATTTGTGGATAGACAGTTTAAGCAGGAATACAGGAGTTTAGGAGTAGAGAGTTCTGAACATGTTAAATTTTGAGGTAACTTAGCCATCTGAATGGAGATGAATAGTAGACAATTGGTAAAGTCTGGAATTCAGGGAACTGGTTTGAGCTAAAGATGTTAATTAAATACTATCAGCATATAAATAGTATTTAAAGCCATAACCAAGAGAAAGAATGTAGCAGAAGAGACGAAAGGACTGAGTCATGGGGCACTCTAATTTTAAGAGTTCTGGGAGATGGGCAAGAACTAGCAGAGGTGACTGGGAAGAAGCAGCCAATATAGGAGGGAAACCAGAAGAGTAGGCTTTCCTGGAATCCAGGTGAAGGAAATGATTCCAGAAGGGAGTGATGAACTATGTCAAATTCTGATGATAGGGAGATGAAGACTGAAAGTTGAATATTGAATTTTGCAAAGTGAAAGGTCAGTGTTCTTCACAGAAGCAGTGTTAGCAGAGGCTAGTAGAGAAGAGTTTAGTAGAAAAGAAATTAAAGTAGAACAGTTGGAGGCTCCAGTTTTTCATACAGGAGAGCAGAGAAATGGAACAGAAAGTGAGATCAAGGGTCTTTTTTTTTTTTTAAGGTGGGAGACATCATAGTTTATTTGTATGCTATGAGACAGTGGGGTGGGAAAAATGGTTGATGTAAGGATGGGGGAAATAGGCATAGTATCATTAAGTAGGCAAGGGGTATAGTATCATAAGTATACAAATGGGAGTACTTGGATTTAGGTGAACTGTCACCCTCACATTAGGTTAATAGGAAAGAAAGTAAACTATATAGGTACAGATGCCTATGGGTGGATTGTTGTGATGGGGGCGATTTTCTTCTGATCACTTAAATTTTTCTCGGTGGAACATAAAGTAAGGATATCAGCTAAGAATGAGGATGGGTAAGGAGATGCTGGGAGTTTGAGGGAAGAGTTTTAAAGAGTGAGTAAATGGACCAGTGAAAACAATTGCCTGCAACGTTAGGGGTATACATGACAACCATATCAAGTTAATGGCAGAACTTCTTGAAGTGATCTCAACTGATATTTTGATAACAAAAACATATATTTTTGACAGTCTGTATTGAAACTTGATTTTAAATATATATGATTTAATGTCTGTTAAGATAAAATTAAATAAAACACTACGTGAAAAATGCTTGCGATATAGAATGACCTCAAATTGTTTTACTTATTCGCATATATAACTATTTACTAATAGGAAGCATAGTGGAGAGAAGCCATATGTCTGTGATAGGTGTGGACAGAGATTTGCCCAAGCCAGCACGTTGACCTATCATGTTCGTAGGCATACTGGAGAAAAGCCCTACGTGTGTGATACTTGTGGGAAGGCATTTGCTGTCTCTAGTTCTCTTATCACTCATTCTCGAAAACATACAGGTAAGAATTTGCCACAGACTGCTTAGAATAAGGAAAGTTGTGAATGAAAAAAGGGAAATCGAGCCTTTACAAACAAACTTTATAGTTATGTATGTTGTTTGTGCTTCTTGAAGCTCTTTATAATTTCCACATAAGTATTAGACATAAAAGCAGATTTATTTTTTAGAATAATAGTGGTAGGTGAAATTTTTTTATCATGTAACTTATATACATTAAAATGAGATGATTGTGACAGTGTATAAACTTGAGTGGAAACATGTTTTATGATTAGGAAAACTCTTTAGCCTCATATGAAATTTCATTTACTTTGGATAAAACCGTAAGAGTGAAATTAAAGGATGGGGGTGGGCTTGGGTAGATCATTGATTCTATAACTTCTTAGGACTTTTCCTATACAGATACTCTTAAGATTTGCAAATTAAATAGATACCTTAAATGCAAAGCATGAATTTTGTTCAAAGATTTTCATTTTTTGTAGGGTACATTTTTGTAATAGATCTTCTGTAAACAATTTCATTCCCCTTTGATGATATAAAAGGTAGTAAGAATTGAATTAAATTGATGAATTTTCACGTTTTTAATAAAAAAATTGAACTTGTTGCCAAATTCTAGTCTACTAGAAGGACATTTACAGAAATAAAGTTTATTTTATGAAAAGCATCAGTTTACGTGAGAGGTGTGAAATAATTACCAATATTCATTTAAATTGAATCACACTAAAAATACCCCTAAAATATAACATAAAGAGGTTTTAAATAATGTTTTAGCACAGCTTACTTTAGGTTATTGTAATTGATAAATATTATGTTGGTATAGTACACCACTTCAATATATTTTATTTTCCATCTAGGTGAAAAACCATACATATGCGGTATTTGTGGGAAAAGTTTTATTTCCTCAGGAGAGCTCAACAAACACTTTCGATCCCATACAGGTCTGTGTTTAGGGAGAATATATTATTTTTTGTTCTGTAATTTCTTTTTATGTAAACCTTGACTTTTAAGCCATTATGGGCTATATGGTATCTAGTCATACTCTACCTATTAGCAATATTTTAATGTATAAATATCAACTTTCTATTTACTTACATCATTTTTTTTAGTTGTTTTGAGTGTGAGTTAAATTTGGTTTAGAATTGTGTAGATTTTATAAGATAATAAATAAAGTTAGATAATAGTTTTTTAATTATTTCAGTTAATTGTAGATATACACGAAAAGAAAAAAGGAATTAAATAATACTTATTAAATAGTTTTCAGTATGCAATTTTAAGAATATATCTTGTTGTTGACATGTTCATTGTAAAAGGTAGTGTATAAGTAGTATAAAGAAAATACTAAAAAAAATGTTTAAACAAAAGAATATGCCACTTTGAAAATCTGCTATTCTTTTTAAAAACTCTCCTAATTCCTATCTAAAAAAGCATTGACCAGTTCTTATTTCAGAAGAATAATTTCTATCAGTATTTTTTAAGAATTTCCTAATTTGTAAGCTACCTGAGGGCAGAAACCGTAATTTTTTACTCCTAGTTATATCTCCTAGCCAGGGTCTGGCATATCATTGCCACTCACTAAATGTATGATAGAAATAAAAGACTTAAGTTAGTTTTAGTTTAAATTTTCTATTACTTAAAGTGCTTTTCCATGAAATAGGGTGCTTTATATCAAGTAACAGTGCCTATGTACATAGAGGTTTTTATTTCACTATATTAGAACCAAGTGATTAAAATGGCAATTTGAAACTAATATAATGATATTCATTTTGTATTAATAAACATTGATATTTTTGTCTGAGCTTCTAAGATATTGAGGTTTTAAGCTTTTAACTTGTTTTTCAGGAGAAAGACCATTTATCTGTGAATTATGTGGAAATTCTTACACAGATATTAAGAATTTAAAAAAGCACAAAACCAAAGTCCATTCAGGTAACTGCTTGTCTTATTTAAAACTTTGGTGCTTTCTCATTGGTAGATAATGGTACTATTCTTTTTAATACTGTGATCCACATTGTAACAGTTTAAATTAGATACATATTTTTAAAAACTAGATATACACATATGAAGAAGGTAGCTTTGTAATTTTTAGAAAAGTTCATTCTAAATTTCTTTTTATATTGATCTCATAAACAGTACTGGTAATATGTCCTCCTTTAAAAACCTGATTTATTAATAACTTCAAGAATGATGGAATACATAAGCAAACTCTAACTGTTCCCCATGCTAGAGCCTGGGTTACCTGGGATTTATAGTAGTTATGTGAAGAAAGGGGCATCATGAACACTAATCCACAAGTACATGAAAAGAGATAAAGAAGTGGGTGGCACCAAATTGTTATATAAAAATGGAAGACCGTACTACAAGATTTTAAATCTGTCGCTTAAAATGAATCCTTTAAAAAGTTTCACCATACATGCCATTTTGTCATGATCAGAAACAAAACATTGGGCTCCCTCAATATGTAGAGATGGTAGCAAGTTTTTGATAGTAAACATAAACATCAAAGAGATTACATTAGTAACACCTGAAAACTACAGTGAGTTATATATAATTCAACAAACATTAAGTAGCTCTAATGCATACGTAACTGTTGAGGGTATATGAAGTTGAACAAGACATAGTCCTCAAAGAGCCTACAATCTGGTGTGGGAGATCAGAAATCTAAATAAATAACTGTGATTACAAAATGAAATGTAAGCTATAACAGAGGCACAAAAGTGCTGAAGAAGAGATTAAGTCCTGAGATGCATGTTGGATGGGCTTCATTCTCAGGAACTTGAAAGAACAAGAGTAGCTCAGAGGATGGAGGTGGGAAAGGCAGAGAGCATTGTGAAGAGAGTCACTGGACAAGAAAGTACAGGCTGTATTCTTGGCTGGCTGAACTGGAGAGAGGAGTCTGGCAAGAACAGAGAGAATTACAATTTTTCTAAAGCAAATACCCAGTTTTATCTAGTGAGGATAGAGAGATTGAAATTATGTCAATATTTTGGAGTGACAAGATCATTGTCAAGCTAGTAGAAGATTTGAAGGCAGAAGTCTCTTTACTCAGTGTGATTATTACTCCCTTGAGCAGAATTTCTTTTGAAACCATATATATGAAAGTACCATGTCTCTGAACTTCAACTCACAGAATAGTATGAACTACTCATTAGTACATTCAGTGAACAAATAGTGTTCACTTTGTGTTACTACTGTTAGGTACTTTGAAAGAATTAGAGAAGTATAAATTGACATTTATAGTTTACTTGAGGAATTAAGGCATACCTAAGTAGAAAAATAGCTATGAGAGATAGATGCCATAAGGCAGTATATGAAGAATTGACAAATGAGTAATAAGATAGGTAAGAAACAGCTCACCCTGGTCTAAATTCATTTTTATAATGGAATTGGTATTTGAATGTAGTCTTTAGGGCCATAGAAGGTTTGATTAGATAATGAGGACAGCAAATAAGCAAAAGAGAAACAGCAGAAGTAAAGGTGTGGAGTTTGGAATGCAAGTTCTTAGAATAAGAAGTAGATTTAGTTTACCTCAGGGTTTTTGTTTTGTTTGTAAAGATAGTGTAAATTTTTTCCCTTCCATTTCAGGTGCAGATAAAATTCTAGATTCTAGTATAGAGGATCATCCCTTAAATGAACAAGATTCCATACAAAAAAGTCCTTTATCAGAAACTTTGGATGTGAAGCCTTCTGATATGACTTTACCACTAGCTCTTCCACTTGGGACTGAGGACCACCACATGCTCCTGCCTGTCACCGATAATCAGTCTCCTACATCAGATGCATTGTTGAGGTCAACTGTGAATGGGTATTCAGAACCACAATTGATTTTTTTACAGCAATTATACTGATTTTGTGAGGAATATGGAATTGCTAAGACGTCTCTGGTAGTAAACATAAACATCTATGGTAAGGTGCATATATTCATATTAAATTACCATTCATTTGAGTTGTGACCATTATTTTTCATTCACTGAAGTAAAAGCACCTGATGCTGCATCATAACTGTGCAATGCTTGTTTTGATTTTTGCTTTGTATGTCTAGATTATACACACAGTGTTTTAAGAAGTAAATTATACTATAGTGATGCTATTTTGGGTGGATAACTTTTATTTTCTTTTAGAGCTGCCTTAACTTCATTTTATCATGCAGTTTAGAATTGTCTTTCATTTACTAAAGTAGAATTTGTCAGTTTCTGTGATTCAGTTCTCACCTGTGGTATTTTTTAATTTCTTCCCCTCGAAATTTAAGCAAAATATGATAGTATCAGCCCAACAGTGTTGCTGTTACTAATCCCCATAGACTAATACATAAATTTTGGAGGAAAAAAATAAAATTTATATTTCTGCCTAAGAAAATTTAGGTACTGAGTGAGAATTGTGCTATTTCTCTATCAATATATTTCACTGGAGGTAACTTTTCTAATGGAGTAAAAAGAAGTATTTCTCTTAAAAGATAGAAAACTGCATGTAAATTTTTGTTTATTTAGAATTCAGTATTCTGGAGGAAACCAATGGTCAGTACTTATGAGTTATCTGAGATTATAATCTCAAAATGAATTTTAAATAAATATTTAGTGTTTTTATCTTTGTTAAAACACCGTTTCAAAATTTGATTGATTCAGGTTATTTTAAAAGGTTTCTAGATTACTGGAGATGAGCAGATATACCGAATTTTGAAAATTTTTCCTAAGCTCTTATACCTGTTATGCACTTTTTAAAATACTAAAGTCTAGAAGAAATTTTCTAAATATAAACTTAATGCATACTATAAGTCACTTGGCTTCTGAATTTGATACATCGTATTATATAAAGAGTTAAGAAATTAAGTTCAATTATAAGTAAACATTTGAGTTATCAGAAAGCCAGCTTATTAAACATTTTATTTTTCAGTTTAAAATTTTTATAAATTAAACCACAATATGAGGCTGTTGACATAGTTTCATAGTAGTCCTTCCCCTTCCTAATGAATGTAGGAAATTCAGAATTCTTTGATGTTTACCATCACTCTTCCCCATTCCACTCTTCCCACATAATCATTTATTTTACTGCCTGATCTTTGGACATTAAATTATCACTTCCACAAAGTCAGTTCCTATACTGCTGACTAAACACCATGAAGTTATTCTTATTTCTGCCATGCATTAGTTGTGGCTTATTTGTTTTCTGGTTTTAAACTACATCTGTAATAAAATTACCATATTTTCTAGTGTTATTGATTTCTTTACTTGTATTTTCTCTGGGGTCGTACTTACAGGAACCAATTAGACGACTGTAAAGATTGTCACCTTTTCACAGCACACTCAGCATTTTCACTATGAATTGCCACCAGTGGGACTGACTTAATTGAATAGAGTTTGAATATTGCCTTTGTATAATGTTCACCAACCTTAGTATTTATTTATCTAAGAAACCTAATTATGCTTGTGTATTAACGTAATATACTGGGTTTAAATACTATAAAGTTATGAAACGTTCAACTAATCTATTCTGACTTAAATTCAATAGGAGTTTATTGGAATGTGAAGAAATTAAAGAAAATTAAGAGTCAACCTCTGTAAGAAGTCTGCTGAAATGGAGAGGTTATATTTAAATCACATCTTCATTAATCCAAGCATCTAGTGAACAAAATTTCTTTTTGAAAACTGCTACAGTGATGTCCTAATTCTATAAGTGCAGTAGTTACCAAATTTCCTCTACTATGATGGTAATTAGCATTTTACCTTTGCATAGATTAGCTTGCAAATTTATTTTTAGTATTGGATTGGAGTGGATAAGGTTGATTTACAGTGCTTTTCTTCATCACATTATCTGCTTTTTAGCTAAAATAATTTTATTTTAAATTGACATGGCATGATGCTCTACCAGAAAGACATTTCTCATTATACTAATCTTTGTCATAATATACATATATTTTAGTTGTATCTGGTATTCTAACAGTAACGTTTTAGTTAAGTCCATCTTCAAATGTACTTGTTACAATGCAGTATTCTGGAGAGACATTCTTAATTACTTAAGTATAATTAAGTTTTTTTAAAGTCTGTTTAGGATGTTGAAGATCTTAGAAACATTTTCTAAATTAATTTTCTATTTGTATTAGATTACGCCTCTTGTATTATTAGATTTTAGACTTTTTAAAAAGAAACATAGATTATATACAAATGACTTTTTGCTGTTTTTAAGTAGTATTTTTGTTTTATGTTTAATTTCATAGGATGATTTTGATAGCAAATTTTAGAGAATTTTATTTTTTTCAAAAGAAAAGGTTTGATCAGTCCCTGTTCCAACACTTTATGTTTCAGTTCTATAGAAATTGTGGAAATGATAACACTTGAGATGTACTTATATAAAGACAATGTACATGTACTCTTTTTTTAAAAATGTCCTAAAATAATAGTTCTAACATTGATGCCTAGCAGAAACATATTTTAAAAATAATGGTATCCAAGCTTCACGGAACCTTAGGCCTACTGAATCAATCTCTGGGACATATATATATATATATATATATATATACTGGAAAAGCCCCATAGTTATTTTAATGTATACCAAACATTGAGAACTATTATCCTAAACAATTCCTGGTGTCTTCCTTTGGGAAGTGCTTAAAAATGAAGCTCTTGAAATAACTATGTCTTTACTCAGAGATTTTGAGTCTTTAGAACTTCGCTAGAAATAGCACCAAGTAAAAAGAAATTGTATTTTAATAGTTTCTATAAATTCTCCATTTTTACTCATTATTATGAACAATATTGAGATTTAATTATTGGAGCATTAATTTTTTGAGACAATGGTATGGTGTGCTCTTCTTTCCTCTGCAACCTCTGTCCCCATTCATTCAAGAAAGCCATTTAATGTATTTGCTTAAGGAATTAATTATCATGTGAACATAGTGACCATTCAGAAATAGAGTATTTAATTTAAAGAACATACTGAAATAAACACAATGGATGTGGACAGATATTTGGATTAAAATATCCAGCCAGTATTTCAAATGCTGGAGAATTTGTTGAAATCAGAATATGTAAAGGTACAATGATAAACAAGGTAAACTCCACCCTTAAGTTTACAGTCAAATGGGAAAGACAAGCCTGAATTTAACTAGCAATAAAACAAGGCAGATCATCCAGTGCTATAGTGTGAGGAGGCAAGAGCAGTCATCAGGAATTGGATGGACAAAGAAAGGACATTGCTTCCCTAGGTAGGCAAACATGAAGAGGTGACTGTTGAGAGGAATTTTCACACAGCTGACTGAGATCGGCAGAATGGAGAGGAGATGTGAAATGGGGAGATGATGAGAGTCAAAGATGTCCAACACTGTGCCTACACCCTCCCACTTGAAGTAGTCTGTGCTGAAGGAGTAGGATTTGATACCCAAGTTTATAACCCATGATCTCACACACCCAGCATAGTTGACTGATGAAGGGCAGGGATTCAACAGCCACATTTGTGATACATGATTCCAAACTTGTAACTACAGCTGGCCATCCTCACCTTACCAGGGAGAATGAATTCTTAGGTCAGACTGATCTGCTTAGATTCTGTCTCAAAAATTTGAGCTATGAAATTCAGAGGCTATTAGGTATTTTGGTAGATACGCAAATGAAAAGGTCATTGAACTGGCCAAGAGTCAGTGAAGCAAGCCAAAGTCTGAAGGAAATTATGAGCAGAGAAACCTGATCTATAGACCAAAGCAAGGGTGCAGTAGGTTTGCAGAACCATGCAACTGAGGCCCTACAAGACAGGTGTCGCTTGGGTTTCTAGCTTTGCAGTGCCATTCTGGAGTTGGCACAGCTATGTTTCATTTCTTTATCCCTGGATACCAGTGATTATATATTCCTACAGTAAATTCCATTTTTTTCTTAAACAGGCTTGAGTCAGTTTCTGTTTCTTGCAGTTAGACAGCCCCACTTTAACACCTAAGTTTGATCCTTAGTGATTGAGAAGGTGGTGGTGCTTTTAACTGAGATAGGGAAGATGAGATTTGTGGAAAAGACCACTTTGTTTTGGGTGCATTGAATTTGATCGGCGGTGAGATACCCATGTGAAAATGTCTAGCAGTAGATGGAAATGGGGCCTGAGATCTAGGAGAGGTTAAAGCTAGAGATATAGATTCTATAGCATAAAGCTAATAATTATTGTGATTAAAATGATTAAGGCAGCCATGGAATTTAGCATTTACAGAATAAAAGGTGAGGATAAAATCCTAGCATAAATTCATTTAAAGTATAAAAAGACAGAAAAGGAGATGGGCAGTGATAACAGAAAGAAAATCAGGGTGTTACATACAGATTACACAGAGAGAAAAGTGCCTGTGTACTGGTTACATAGTACAGAGAAAATTAAATAAGTGCAAAATAAAGACAGCACTGGGTTGGGTGATTGGAGCATGGTGATCCTTGGAGAAAGCTGTGGTAATAACTGTAGAAGTACAAGCCAGGTAGATAAGGTTTGAGTATTAAATGAAGACATAATAGATAGTAGTGTTTAGTTTGAAAAGCAGAGCATATAGACCAGAGATGATTAATTTTATCAAAATATCCAGAAAGTATAAACCAGTTTTATGCTTTTTTTACTTTAATTTGAAACACTAAAATGATGAGCATAAATCTGCGACACTATAATAATGAGGCTGCGTTTGAACTAGATCTTAAAAAAATGATTGCCAAGAGGAAAATGGAAGGAAACTTATATAACATATGGTTGCAGATTTACTCATGACAGTTCAGATGTGCAAAGGAAGTAGAATTTTCCTATAGAACTTTCATGTTCTTCCTCTTGAATTCTTGAGGGAAGTCTGGACAACACTTAGTCCTACCCAGTTTAAAGCATAGTGTGATGTAAAGGGGATAGAATTTATGTATCTTAAGGTAATGCTTTTACTTTTGGGAAATTGCTGTCTTATTTGTGCCCTTTGTCTTCTCCCTAAAATGGTATTCAGATATATGAATAAAACAGAATTGGGGAAGACAGTGTCTTCACCTCTTCCCTTCTCTGGGTATCCGACTGGCCTCTGATGCACTGGCAACAGCTTGTAAGATAGGTGATCAGGTTCTTCCTAGCTGGTTAGAGCCCAGTAGTTTTGGGCTGAAATGGTCTCACCTTACTTCTTTTGAGTTTGAAGAACTGAGACACACAACTCTTGTCTCAAGCAGTCCAGTGTAGGTAAGGCTGCAAGTGTAACACATGCCACCCCTCTGCAGGCTCAAGGTAAGCCTTCTTGCTTTCTACTCAGCTACCTTCTGAGTCTCCACTTGGGAGAATATAGAAACTTGTGGGTTCCTTCCGTAGCACACAGCAACAGAGAGCAGCATGGGAAAGCACACCTCATTGCTAAGGTTTGGTGTGGCTGTGACCTAGCTTGAGGGGCTCTCTTTCCAGAATCCTGTAGACTCTTCTACCCAGCATATTATGGACTACTTCAAAGCAATAAAAGATGAATGGACTACTGCTATACTGAACAACATGAAGGAATCATATTAGTATGAAAAGGAAGTCAGATAGAAAAAGAGTGTATACCTCCATTACATAAAATTAAAAAAAACAGGCTAAACTATTCTGATGTTAGAAATCAGGATAGTAGTCTATTTGAAGAGGGTTGGAGGAGTTTCTGGAAAGCTTGTGTCATTTACTATCTTTAGCTGGGTCATGGTTAAAACATGAATTAGCTTTGTGATATTTAAAAGAAGGATTGTGTATTTAAAAGAAGGATATATACTTATATCTTAAACTAATTTGAAGAGCAAAAAACCAGAGCACTGACTCTTAAACTTTAATGAGATTAAAGATGACCTTGATTGTAAAATGCAGATTCCCCAAACTAGCCTCTCAAGTTTTGATTCAGTAGGTCTGACTCTTAAGACTCTGTATTTTTAACACTTGCCCCAGGTGATTGATGCTTCATACTTTCAAGACTACTGGCTTAACTATCTTACTTTCTGGACATTCAAGTATAAGAAGTTTGTCATACTAATTGTTATTCAAGTCTGAGTTTATTGGATCTCTAATTGCTAGTAGTAGCATTTCCTCACCAGCCTAATGTTTTTCAAATGTAATGACAGTTTAAAATGTTCAGTTTTTCCTGTACTGTGGTTTTATTGCATCCATTGAATTCTGCGATTTTTCAAATTTGATTAAAAGACAAAGAGTTCTGTTTATTTCCTATTGCATTTTTAACAATATGGAGACACTTGACTTTCCTGGGACACAGCTTTTCTAGATACAGATATTTAGTTCTAGATGTATGCAGCATGTAATGATACAAAAGAAGCTTTGTAAAACAGCTGGTCTTCATATCAACAAAGGACAGATCTTATAATGGAAACATATAGAGAACATACCAAGTAAGGTTTGGTAAATAACTAGGTAATACCAATCAGTAACAAGTGTCAGGATACATAAAGTCATTTGTAGAATCCTGCAGCCTATACAGTATAGTTTAGTCGATTTAATTGTACACATTGCCTAAGCAAATCTTCAGTAAGTGTTTTCTGCATTGGTAGAAGGTCATATTTCTAAAATTCTATCACCAGATTGTGGTAATTTTGTCCAGTATAACATAAACAGTATTTATTGAAAGAAAAAACAAGTTTGAAGTCTGTTTCACACATTTTGTAACTATCAAATACATGAACTATATATTCAATTCCAGATATGTTAAGATTTTGTTTCTCAGCACATACTCAATCTGAAGCAACCATCTGTCCTAGATGATACAAATTCATCTCTGAAATCACAAGAATGGATTTGGTGTAAGGCATTTGGTCTTTTCTGGCTCAATGACTCTTTATCATTAAGTGAAAATAATGCCTTATACCAATTAGATGTTTCCATTACCATTACAACCGTCTGTGCCTACCCCACACCCCAGGGAATAGGGAAAAATGGCATAAGGTGCTGAATATAAGGAAAGACCTGTTAAACTTGAAAAATTATATAGTAAGTAGGGGATATTTATCTTTATTGTTTAATCTACCAAAATAATACCCTTATGCAGATGTGACTTCTTTTTGTAATATTTATTTCTAGAATAAATACAGCTGTGATTTAAGGAATTCACAATATGCTATGTGAAGCCCAGTACTTTGACAACTGTAAAGTTGACCACCACCTTTATTCTGCTTCTTCACTCTCCACATTGAGAGACAGGTGGTGTTTTAGTCTGCAGAACCTCAGCTTAATTTAGAGTAATCCTTTAAAACTGCCCACAATTTTTTTCACACTTGCCTGGCTTGAATGGTAATAAATCGTTCAGATTAAGCAGACTCTTGGTATGTATGAATAAAGTTGTCACTATAGGTCTGTAATCAAAGGATCCTAGTGCCTATTGCCTCTTCATAGGAATCTTAATTTGAAAACATGATTGGCCACAGACACAGTAATTTTTTGCCATCAAATCATTAAAATATTACTGGCGTCCTCCAAAAGAGAAAACTAGCTTTAAAAGTTCACTGGCAACACCGACTTGTTTGGAAAGTATATGCTTATATGTATTTGTATGTGTTCATATATATTTGCCTGTATTTGTAAAATTGTATTAACACTCATCTGTAATACCTAAATAAGATACATAAAATACTTCACTTTTTCAACTTCTAAAGCCCTTGAAAGTCTCTGGGAATCTGCCATCTGAAATCTTTTTACCACTTGATGACAACTTTCATTTTGAATACCTATGATAACCTTTCCTTGTATGGTACTTTACTACTTGATTATACTTATGAAAAGAAACTAAGTTAGTTCCTTGATTTTTCCCCAGGTTAAAATTTTAGTCTCTAGTTTGTAAAATTTCTTTTAGAACATTATACTACTTAGCTTTTCACAAAGGACAGTTATAAAAAGTTTAATACAGTTATCTTTGACACATTTGACAAAACTAAGTGATTTATGAATGAAAACTTTAATAGACAATAAAATATCAATCTATGAAAATAACAAGGCGAATAGATGAAAAAATTTTAGAGCTTGTTTTTCATAGTTTTTCACCCACTGGTACAAGAGCAAAACCTGCATTAGATGAGTGGCTGCAGGCTTCTTTGTAAGTTGGTGTCCAATAATAATGCTTTTTAAGGCCATTAGAGACTTCTGCAAGATACACACGTCCATCCACTTCAAATGGCTCCACATCTGTATTGTTGGAATTTAGACGGCCCATTTGAATTAAATCTGAATATGCCTAGGATTTTTAAGAAAAGGAAAACTTTATCATTAATAATTTATTCATTTTACAATACTTAAGCAAATTTCAATATTCAAATTAGCTGTGCTAATTGCAATTTAAAATATGAATAACACAAGTTTAATATTTTCTAGGTATTATAGATTTTTATTCATTTCACTCCATATGTTGAAATTACATTTTTGCAAAAATTATAGTTTTAATATATTAGGCATGTTTTGTTTAATGTTTCTAATGTAGTATGTTTAATGTTTTATAATGTATTAGGTACATACTGTTGTTAACTCCAAGAGCTAACAATTCTTTGTATACCAATTTTGTAGACCAAAGGTCCCATGATCAAAATTTTCAAGTCCCACAGGAGTTTTTAACTGAGAGGGGAGGTTGTTCTATATGCCCTTGAAGATTTGATGATAGCCAGGGACCCATCTCTCTTCTTTTTTTTGTAACTGAAGTTGAGTTAACACACAATATTGTATTCATTTCAACACAGTATACAACATAGTGATTCAATTATGAAATGTTCACCGCAACAAATGTAGTTACCATTTATCATCATACAGAGGTATTACACCATTATTGACTATGTTCTCTGTATACAAGTCTCATCACTGTGACTTGTTTTGCAATTGGAAGTTTGTACCTCTTATCATGCTCACCTATTTCCCCTACCCCCTACTTCCTCCCCTCTGGCAACTACCAGTTCTCTATATTTATGAATCTATTTCTGTGTGTCCATTTGTTTGTTTTTTATATGCCCCACATAGTAAGTGAAATCATGTATTTGATTTTTTTCTAACTTAGCGTAATCCTCTCAAGGTCCATCCATGTTGTCATAAATGGCAAGATTTATTTTTTTTTTTTTTTTATTTTTTTTTTTTGAGAGGGCATCTCTCATATTTATTGATCAAATGGTTGTTAACAACAATAAAATTCAGTATAGGGGGGTCAATGCTCAATGTACAATCATTAATCCATGGCAAGATTTATTTTTTATATTTTAATTTTTATTTAATTATCGCTATACAATCTTGTACTGGTTTCAGATACACAACACAGGTTCAACTTACCTCACCTCTAGTGTAGTTACTGTCTGTCAACATACAAAGATGTTACAGAATCACTGACTATATTCTCCATCCCATACTACTATTCCCATGATCAACTTATACTATGATTGAGGTTTTTGGGCCCCTCTATCACCCTTGCCACCCACCCACTCCAACCCTCTTCCACATGGTAACCACCAGTCATTTCTCAGTATGCATGACTGCTGTTTTATTCATTCTGTTTTGCTTGCTTTTTATATTCCATAAGTAAGTGAAATCATATGGTATTTCTCTACCTGGCTTATTTCACTGAGCATAATATCCTCTTGATCCATCTGTGTTATAAATGGCAGGATTTCCCTTTTTATGGCTGAATAATATTCCATTATGTATATATACCACATCTTTTCCATTCATACATTAATGGACATTTGGATGCCCCCATATCTTGGCTAGTGTAAATAATGTGGCAATAAACAGGGGTGCATATATCTTTTCAAATAAGGAATTTTGATTTCTTTGGGTAAATTCCTAGAAGGGGAATTACTGGGTCAGTTTATTTTTTTCTTACGGCTGAATTACATTACACGCATATGCCCACTTTATCCATTCATTTATTGAGGTACACTTAGGTTGCTTCCATATCTTGGCTATTGTAAATAATGCTGCAATACACAAAAGATGTATCTATCATTTTGAATTACTATTTTTGTTTTCTTTGGGCAAATGCTTGTAATTACTGGGGAGTATGGTATTCCTGTTTAATTTTTTGAGGAACCTCCATACTGTTCTCTGTAGAGGCTACACCAATTTGCATTCCCACCACCAGTGCATGAGAGTTCCATTTTCTTCATATACTCATCAACACTTGGGGTTTTTTTGACACTTAGTTCTGATTGCTGTGAAGTGATACCTCATTGTAGTATTGATTTGCATTTCCCTGATGATGTGTGATACTGAGCATCTTGTCATGTGTCTGTTGGCCATGTGTATGTCTTCTATGGGAAATTGTCTACTTGGCATTTGCCCACTTTTTAAATCAGATTTTCTTTTTGGTGTTGAATTGTATGAATTATTTACATATTTTGGATATTAAACACTTATCAGATATATCATTTGCAAATATATTCTATTCAGTAGGTTGCCTTTTTATATTCCTTGCCTGGGAGACTTATCCAGAAAAATTGTATAGATTTATCAAGAGTTTACTGCCTGTTTTCTTCTAGGAGTTTTATGGTTTCAGGTTTTACATTTAGGTCTTGAATCCATTTCAAGTTTATTTTTGTGTATGGTGTAAGAACGTGGTCCAGTCTCATTCTTTTGCATGTAGCTGTATTGTTTTCCTAGACCACTTATTGAAGTGACTGTCTTTTCCCCCATTATAGTCTTGCCTCCTTTGTCATAGATTAATTGACCATATGAATATGGACTATCAGTTAATTTATGTGTGTCTTTTGTCCCAGTACCATACTGTTTTGATTAATATAGCTTTGTAGCATAGTTTGGAATCAGGGAGTATACCTCCAGTTTTGGCTGTTTGGAGTCTTTTGTGGTTCCATACAAATTTCAGGATTATTTCCTCTAGTTATCTAAAAACTTAGTATTTTGATAGGGTTTTATTGAATTTGTAGGTTGCTTTGGGTAGTATGGACATTTAAACAGTTATAATCCATAAGCATGGTATATCTTTATTTGTGTTATCTTCAATTTCTTTCATCAGTGTCTTAATGCTTTTAAGAGTCAAGTCTTCGACCTTCGTTAAATTTATCCCTAGGTATTTTACTACATAAAATTGTTTTCTTAATTTCTCTTCATTCTAGTTTGTTATTAGAATATAGAAATGCAACAAGGATTTCTGTATATTGGTTTTTGTGTCTTGTGACTATTGAATTCATTTATTCTGATAGTTTTTTGGTGACGTCTTTAGGGTTTTCTAGGTATAATAAGTCATCTGCAAACAGTGACAGTTTAACTTCTTCCTTACCAGTTTGGATGCCTTTTGTCTCTCTGTTTTTGTCTGATTGCATGGCTAGGACCTCCAGTACTATGCTAAATAAAAGTGGTGAGAGTGGACATCCTTGTCTAGTTCCTGATCTTAAAGGAAAAGCTTTCAGCTTTTCACCATTAAGTATAATGTCTGTGGCTTTGTCATATATGGCCCTTATTATGTTGAGGTACATACCCTCTATACCCATTTTATTGATCGTTTTTATAATGAATGGTGTTGAATTTTGTCAAATGCTTTTTCTGTATCTGTTGAGATGATCATATTGATTTTTATCCTTCCTTTTGTTAATGTGGGGTATTATACTGATTTATGGATATCCAACCATCCTTCCATCCCTGGAATAAATCCTACTTGGTCATGTTAAGTGATCCTTTTAATCTAGTTTTTAATTCGGTTTTGCTTATATTTTGTAGAGGATTTTTTACATCTATGTTCATCAGGGATAATGGTCTATAAATTTCTCATTTCGTAGTGTCTGGTTTTGGTATCAGGGTAATGCTGGCCTCGTAAAATATTTGAAAGCATTCTTTTCTCCTATTTTTTGGAATAGTTTGAGAAGGATAAGTATTAATTCTTTAAATATTTGGTAGAATTCACCTTTGAGGCCTTCTGGTCCTAAGACTTTTGTTTGCTGGGAATGTTTTGATTACTGATTCAATTTTATTACCAGTAATTGATCTGTTCAGATCTTCTGTTTCTTCCTGGGTCAATCTTGGAAGATTGGTTGTGTCTAGGAAATTATCCATTTCTTCTAGGTTGTCCAATTTGTTAGCATTTTTCACAATAGTCTCTTATAATCCTTTGTATTTACCTGGGTGATCTATCTGTTGATGTAGGCAGGGTATGAATATCTCCTACTATTGTATTAGTGTCAGTTTTATCCCTTTATGTCTGTTAATATTTGCTTTATGTATTTAGGTGCTCCAATTTGGGTGCATAGATATTAACAGTTGTTAGATTTTTCTGTTTTGACCCTTGTTATGTAATAAGCTTGTCTCATGCTGTCTGTTAACTTTCCTTTGCATGGTGTACCTTTTCCATCCCTTTACTTTCAGTCTGTGCGTTTCTTCAGTTCTGAAGTGATGATGGGTCTTGTTTTTTTATCCATTCAGTCACCTTACGTATTTTGATTGGAGCACTTACATTTAGATGGTTATTGATAGGTATGCATATATCACCATTTTGCTAATTGTTTTCTTGTTGTTTTTGTAGATCTTTATTCCTTTATTCTTCTCTTGCTCTCTTCCCTTGTGAGTAATGACTTTCTTTAGTGTTATGCTTTAAGGTTTCTCTTTATTTTTTGTATCTCTTTTAATGGGTTTTTGGTTTGTGATTATGATGAAGTTCAAATATGACCTTTTAAGTATATAGCTGTGGGAAAAGTGGACAAGAACATGGTGTCTGTCAGGCTCCCTCACACAGGATATCTGAAGAGGCATGACTCAGTAGTATATTATCTTGCTTGTACTGCACATGACAGTAAACATATGCTCACTGGCACTGTGCTGGCTTTGTTCCAGAGCCCTATAAGAAGGCTGCCCAGAAAGCTTTGCCACTGCTCCACACCAAAATAAAAGCGTGTTCACAGTTTCACCTGTGCTTCGGTTATTCTTTGGCCTGCCCAAATTGTAGTGCAACCTTCCAGGTACACATCACCTGTGCTGACAATAGCCATCTATATTAAGTTGATGGTCACTTAAGTTCCAGTGCATTCTAACAGCACTACATTTTTACTCTCCCTCCACAATACATATGTGTATACACATACATACATATATATTATACCTTTTTGTGATTACCTTAACTAATTTTTTAGATATAATAGATTTAACTTTGTCTTTTAACCTTCATACTAGCTTCCAAATGATTGATGTACTACTACTACATGTCAGTTTTTTTTTAAACTTTTTATTAAGGTATGATTGATATACACTCTTATGGAGGTTTCACATGAAAAAACAATGTGGTTACTACATTTACCCATATTATCAAGTCCCCACCCATACCCCAATGCACTCACTGTCCATCCTACATGTCAGCTTTTATCAGGGAATTTTTCATAATTTTCTTTCTTGTAGTTATGGCCTTTTCTTTTTTCCTTAAGTCCCGTCATCATTTCTTATAAGGCCCACTGAGTGGTGGTGAAATCCTTTTAACTTTTGTTCAGAAAACTGCCTTTAAATCTGAATGATAACCTTGTTGGGTAGAGTATTTTTGGTTGTAGCCTTATGGGGTCTCCTTTTAAACATAACTCATTGGTTTTCTCTTGCTACCTTTAAGGTTTATCTCTTCAATCTTTGACATTATAATTATTGTGTGTGGACATCCTTGGGTTCATCTTGCTTGGGACTCTGTACTTCTTGGACTGAATGTCTGTTTTCTTCCCCAGGTTAGGGAAGTTTACATTCATTATTTCTTCAAAAAAGTTTTCCACACTTTCTTCTCCTCCTCTGGGACTCCGATAATGTACTGTTAGGACATTTGATGTTGTCCCAGAGGTCCATTTTTTTTTTTGCTGTTCACTTTGAGTGCTTTCATTACTCTATCTTCCATGTTCATGATCCATTCTTCAGAATCCTCTAATCTGCTGATGAGTCAGTCCCTCTATTTTATTTTTCATTTCATTTATTGTATTCTTCAACTCTCATTAGTTTTTTAATATTCTCTCTTTATTAAAGTTCTCACTGAGTTCATCCACTCAAGTCTGGTGTCTTCATAACCATTACTTTGAACTTTTTATCAGATAGATTGCTTAATTCCATTTAGTTTTTTTCCTGAAGTTTTGTCTTATTCATTAATTTGGAGCATACTCCTGTCTCCTCATTGTATTTGACTTTCCATGTTTATTTCAATGAATCAGGTGAAATTGCTACCTCTCCCAGTCTGAAGGACTGACCTTGTGCAGGATGTCCCCTGTAGACTGTCTGGCAACTCTGGCTAGCTGGAACCCAAGTAGGCACAGGCCTGGTGGGGTGGAGGTATCTTTGGGCTCTTCACATATGGGGCACCCTGGCAGGGTAGCTGGAGGCCTAGCAGGTGCAGGCTAGGAGAGTGACTGCACTGCTCTGGTGTTAACTTGAGACAGCTGATCTCAGTCACAGGCAGGCCGCCTTGGTGGGACACCTGGAGCTAGTGTGGGCTAGAGGTCTGGAGTGTGCTGAGGTGGCAGGCAGGCTAGCGCACCCAGACCCTGCTCCCAGCCATGCTGTCAAGACAGAGGAACTTAAACAATGGAACTTACTAGCACGTCTAATCCCAGAGAGTGGCAGCAGTTCCCCCACCAAAGGCAAATGATGCTTTAATGTTAGTAAATGGGATTCCTTCACTTAACAGTCTTTGCCCTGTAAACGGCAGGGATTTTTTTGTGCCACAGGGCAGGTGAATCTGCGTGGGTCTCTCTACCACCATTCACATCAGGAGTCAGGTTCTGTTGTCACCATGTCTCCGTATCTCCTACCATTCTATGTGTGGTTTCACTCACACTCTGCCCTCGGTCCTTCAAGAAGAATTGCCTTATATGTAGGTATAGATTCAGTGCATATGTGGGAGGGGTGTGTTCTTTCTGTGTTGTCATTGGACACCCCCTGCAAGGGTTTTTTTCTGGTAGTGTACATTTTATTTTTAATGGAGGAATTTTGGTTAGTCCCTTTGTAAAGTTTGAGAGTTTCGACACCCACGTTTTTCCTTCATTCTTTCTAAATAAAATAAAAACTATCTGGTACAATGCTTTCTGTTTATTTGGGGGTATCAAGGGCCGTCTATATTTACCTAAGCAACATAACCAAATATTTTGAAAACTGTTACTATATCTCTCCAAATTCTGTGTCTTGGTTTAATTTGGGGACAGCAGATTGGAGATTGATTATTCCACTTCAGATTTAGAATAAAAACATACATGATGTGTTAAAGTTTATCTAAACTGCAGTGTCTCACTATATACTTTGTAATCATTTTTTAGGCACCTGTAAATAATGTCTGCTGTTAAAGAGAGGACCCAGAAAAAGTAAAGAAGAAAACGTACCACACATGTAGCCTCATCAAATTTGTTTCCCCAGATGTAGATATTAGAGAGTACGGGATTTGTTTTCATTGACTGTGAAAGTACAACAAGTCCTTCTCCCTCTATGTTGTTGCTGACTACTGACAACCTATGGAAAAACAAAAAACAGTACCTCTAGAAATCAGTAGTTCCTCAGAGAGAGAATGCGTAAGTTAGCAACAGCATTTATTATAAATATTTTGTTGTGTGAAGTCTCAACATTATTCTTTAAATATGTTTAGTAGTGAAAATATATTGACCATGCAATTCCTAAAATATTAAGAAATTTAAGTTTTCTAATTGGAGGCTTTGTACACCTAGCAGAGCTACCTACATTTTGGAAACACGGTAGATTTTTAGGGTGGATTACAGATACATTTTTAGATAAAGTCATCCAACTAATAATTTTTTCTTTGGTTCATTCTTAAGTCTTGATCATACTAAATGATTATGATTCTCCTGTTAGAACTCAAGATATTTAATGTAAGCAGCAATCTTACTCATTTTAAAAAATTAATCTTAAGACATTACTTGTGAAAAAGAGAGGAAACTAACACTTAACTCATGTAAGTTTAGAAACTGCTCCCTTGTTGCATCATGAATCTTGAGGCTTGAGGTTAATATGCTAAAAAATTTAAGTTTTTCTTTTATTCTGATTAAATATAAAAACTATACTAACGCTTTAAGACTCCTGTTGTGTGAAGCAAGCGTTTCACTGAGATAGTTTGCTCCTGCATTTTCTATTCTGTTAAAAGAAAGATCTATTACTTCCAAAGTAGTATTGCTTTTCAGTACATCAGCCAAACACTTCATTCCATCATGAGTTATTTTATTGCTGGAAAAGGAGAAACATGTAGTTATATTTGGAAATAGAAAGTATTCTTTTATTCATAGATAATATACTTGAAAACTTACATAGTAATAAGCAGTACTTTATATTTCAGTAAAGATTTAATCATTCAATTTCCAAAAAATGAAATTTTAATGAAAATTTGCAATAAAATGTTGTTTCCATTCTGGTTTACATAATTAAATTACTCATTCAGGTTATTAGCAGATACCTGTATAAATTAAATACTAAGGTTTAGGATAAAAAATTGACAGCAATGGTTGCATTTTCTCATCTTTGAAATTACTAACAAAGTATTCTATATATTATGAATATTTACATAGATTATTCACATGACTTCTGAATATATAAATTATCACCTACCAGCTGACATCAAGGTAGCGTAGGCTTCTATTCCGATATAGTGCATCACATAATTGCTTTAAACCACAGTTTTTTATATCATGCTTACACATGTGTAGTTGAACAAGGTAATGATTTTCTTTCAACATGTGCCCTAGATGAACTGTGGCCTCTTCCTAAAAATAGATAACTTTTTTATAAAATGTAATTGTGAAGCAGTATATGTTTATTCCAAACATATGCTAACTTATTTAAATTAGCTTTTTAAAAAGATTATTTTGTATTCATTAGGCCTGAGTTGTTTTTTTTTTAATCTTTTTTGCCACAAATGATATCTTTACCATCTTTGCAATATTATATCTTTACTGTCTTAGAAACAGGCAGCAGACACATGTAAAATGCAGGGGTTAAGAGATGTAAAACAGGCTGGTTAAAAAATTATAATCATTAAAAATCAATAATCATTCCAGAAGGAAAAAAATCTAAACAGTTGGTCCCGTGATGTGTTGAATATATAAGCTCCCTTATTGCTGTACTCTTGAGTCTCTAAATCTGTTTGTACCTTCCATGTTCCTAGACTTTGCTCCTGATTCGTTTTTATAGTTTTTAGACAAAATACAGACATTTCTGAATCTTGATTCTATTTTTTTTAATGTACTAACTAACCCTATGATACATCCTTTGTATTCATCTCAAATTTCAAATGTCTTAACTCTTGTTTTTTGGTCATTGGAGGATTTTTTTTTTATTCTAAAATCTGCTGTTCCCAGGCAAAAGATGTATAACTCCAATAAAGACATCAATACCAAGCACTTTAAATTTTTTAAATTAAAGCATATTTTTAAATGAATGGGCCAAAGTATTTTATGGTAAGGAGAAGTCCTCTTGCATGACTGCTGTATTTGTGTAAGTTTTAGTCACTGGAAATGCTGATCATCAACATGGATGACTATAAATGCTCTAATTGTATAGAAGTACTTTGAGAAAAACTTTAAAAGATAAATGAAACCACATAGCAATGGTAGATAGTATGTGAGCTTTATAATAAACTCCAAATGCTAGCTTTACCTTTTAATAGCTATATGATTTGGGGAAAATTATTTCATCTAGCTGAATCTGTTTGCTTTTCTGTAAAATAGGTGAAATTATACTTTCTTCACAGAATTAAATAAAAAGTGCCTGGCACAAAACAAGTGTTCTATAAAAAGCTGCAAAGCATTTATTGTTCAGTATGATATAACTATCTGATTTGTTTAAATTACTGTTTTGACACTGAAAAAATTCACCAAAGAGAAGCAGTACTCTAGGATTTTAACAACAGCAAACTGACTGCTTAAGGGGTCCAGTATTGCTCTGCATGGTGCCTAGAACAGAGAACTATAATACGTATTTGTATTTTATGCATTGATTGCATTTTTAGGTCAAGAAATTGGAAAGAGAGACCAGACTTATTAAAGGATTTGTTGATATGCTCCATTCATTGAATTTGTGACCTAATTTGCCCAGAGTGGCACCTGGCATCACTATTTCTGCTCCCCAAATTGACAGTAAAACCATTAAATAGGTTTGCTAGCTTATAACAGCAAAGTATAAGGAAACAACAGAGGATTCTACTCCACAGCCACATAAGAGGAGAATAATATCTCAGGGATAGGGTGGTGGCTGCCTTTGAGGAACAGAAAGCAGGCTAGAGCACCAGTCAGAGAAAAGTACCCTGGGCTTTTAACTTCTCAGATGGATTTGGGAATAATGATACTATTCAACATATTTAAAAGAGGAATTGTGCTTCTAATGTGATATTAACATGCTTATTTCTCAGGGCTTTATCTAGAACATTTTGACTTAGCATTCAAATCCTGTCATGTCCTCAGAACCTTTGCTGCCACCTTTCATCCCCCTGCATTGATTGCAATGGCTTTCCTCATGCTCCCAAGGCCCCCAAAGCATACACTCTCCAGACATGTCAATTTCCCTTCACATGGACTGAAAGCTCCGTGAAGACAAGGGCCATGTGCTTTATTTGATGTATCTCTAGCACCCAGCACTGTCTGGTTCAGGGCTGCACTCAAATACTGAGTGAATGTTACCAATGAAGCAATTCACTGAATGCTTACTTTGAGCCAGGGATTTGCTAGTCTTTATAGTAACAGGTTCTTGTATTTGAGTATTATGGGTGTCTTGTCAAACAGATTAGATTTATGTGCATGCAATTAACATGATGTAAAATTCTGAAAATTTTGGTGAACTACAGAGATAATTCAAAGGGAGAAATCTAGGAGGCAAAAGATGCAAAATACACTTACAAATATGAAAAAAAATACATAAAAAATAGGACATTCTCAACTACTCATACTAATGAAGAACAGTGAGGTGAAGACTAAAGTACTTTGAACATTTTGTTTAGTTCAGTAATTAAATTAGTTTTTATTCCCTAGTGTTTTAAACTGGTAAGAGAGGGAAGCCACCTGAAAGAACAGGAAGGAGCAAGCAGAAGCCTTGAAAGCAGGAACCATGTCTCGCTCATGTCTGTCTCCAGCATGCAGATCACCTACAGGATCAAGTCTGGACTTTCCTACTGTTACTCACAGATTTTGCCATTATTACTCATAATTTCAAAGGTGGGGTTCAGTCACATCAATATAACAAAAATAAAAGTCACATGGGGCTCTTAAAATCCAACCTTTAAAACTAATCATTTATGCTTTCATCTTAACTAATTTGTCCCTCAGAGGTTTTAGTCACTGAGAATTTGAGTTTATAAGAAAAATAGATGACATGATTATTGCTTAAATAAGCAACCTCTAAAATCATATTTAGTTATAAAACTTATCAAGAATTAATAATTTTCCTTTAAGTTTTTCTTTGTAAATAGTAATTTACAATTCTAAAAATACAATGCATTCATGAAATTTAACTTAACCTTCAGTAAGTAGTAGTACCTCATTTTTATTCACAGGTAGTAATATTAACTGCCAACACTTTGAATACATACCTGTTCACCATAGAGTATAGGTCGGTTTAGGTTTATTACCTTAACTGTTTGGTTCTGAGTAAGGCCTGTAGCAAATGCTATCACACTTTGCATTCCCTAAAAACAGGTAAATTCATTAAGGAAACTGACAAAGTATATAAATTAACCCCCCTAAATAAATATTTCAAGATCAGTAATCCAGATTCCAGTAAGTCAAAATTGTTTTTTTGAAAAGTTTAAGCATTTCCTGCTCCCTGAATTATAAGTTGATCAAAATTAGAAATGATTAGGTATTGTGTTCTTTCTCCCTGCCCTAAAATCTGTCTAAACATGTATGTGGGCATTCTTAAGGTTTCATTGTCCATTCCCTAGGGTGTTTACCTCTAGGTTTGCTCCTAAGCCCCTCAAGGCTCTTAGGTGATGCAGACCTGAGTTGTACACACCTTTTATATTCATACTTGAACATTAAGTGTGAAGTGTGTGTGTGGTGTGAAAGTGTTACTAGTCACATTTTTTTTATGTGGGCATTCTTAAGGTTTCATTGTCCATTCCCTAGGGTGTTTACCTCTAGGTTTGCTCCTAAGCCCCTCAAGGCTCTTAGGTGATGCAGACCTGAGTTGTACACACCTTTTATATTCATACTTGAACATTAAGTGTGAAGTGTGTGTGTGGTGTGAAAGTGTTACTAGTCACATTTTTTATAGCTCCTACAGGCCTTCCTCTACTTTATTGGAAGGACCTAACCTTCATGTCTGTGATGGATACCACCACATACCAGCTGTTATGCCAGAAAACCTGGGCCCCCTCTTACTCGGCCAGTCCTCCTACCTTACCACATCAGTTCAACAGTAAACCTTCAGGTTCTGCCTCCAAAAAATGTCTCAAATTAGTCAATTTCTGTGGCCACCAGCCTACCCCCAGTCCTCCTTGCCTATCTGGACTACTGCAGAACTTCCTAAGTGGTCAGTGGGCTTTCTCTTGCCACCCTCTAATTCCCCACAGAGAGACCAAAGTGATCTTTTAAAAGCACCAATCAGATCATGCCACTTTTCAACTTAAAGCCTTTCCATGATTTGTATTTATAACATAATTTCTTCCTCTTCCCATGGCCCATATCAACACCCATAACCCACACCACCTTACTGGATCTGGCCTCTGTGAACCTCTTGCACCTGCACTTCAAGGCCCTCTTAACTCCCTCTCCATCCATTCTGGCTTTTCAGTTCCTAAAACCTGCCAGACTCAGTATTTCATCATTCATGTACTTCCCTCATGAGGTTTGCCACATTTGAGTATCACTTACTATCTTCCTAATACTTTTCCATTAAACCAACTCATTTTTTCACTTATTTTAAAACCGTATCACTACATAAATGGAAAATCCAGAATCCCTTGAAACGAATAGAAAGCATTTGTGAAAACTACATGAGTATTAAAATTACCTCAATCTGTATCAGCAACACTATCCATACCATACTTGGGGAAGCACTATATTATAGCCAAAGTGTGCTGGACCCCCTGCCTGGAATGTCCTGCCACAGACCCTCTCCCAAGGCAGTTTTTTCTCATCCTTCCTAACTCCTCGGTATTACTTCTTCAGGTCTGAGAAGATCATTCTGTCGTGCAGGTTACCTCCTTCCCCATTACCAGAGTGTTTGGGAATCTTCACAGCACTTCACTTGTTTATCAATGTGTTCTCAACTAAAATACAAGCTTTCTAAGGGTATAGACCATATCTGATGCACTCTTGTATCCCTGGTATATAGGATGATGACTGGTATGTGCTGACAATGTATATTGAAGTAATGGCTTTGCCAGAACCATACTGACTGCAACTGCCTTTTAAAGTTTCAGAACTGATTACCTAAAAAATAAAACCTCCAGGCCCATCTTATTGTTTGCGTGTACCAGTGATTCTGCATTAATTTGAGGCCATACCACAGGTTTTCAGCACTGCCTCAAAGCATGTTTCAGAAAATGAACCCTGGAATTTGAAGACATGGCAAAAATGTACACCTCTCATTATCGGGCTAAATGAAGATTCAGCACAGCTTTTACCATCAACATTTTAGGTTTTTATACTGCAACATAACTACTTACTGCGAAGTTTTCTAAAAGTAAAAAAATTTTATGTTATACTAATGAGTAGTATTTATTTGTTTAATTAAAGTGAACACCATCTTTTTCCTTAAAAGTCCTTTACAGCCTTTATGGATGGAAGTTCAGAAAGATTTTAATTATACTGGGTATTCCATAGTATTACTGCAATATGAATTTATTAACAGTACTATTATGTCTAGGTACAAAAAAAAAGCTTTTTCTCTGATATCAGATATTAGATATAAGCTTAATCATTCATAAATAAAGCTGTCATTTTGCTGGTCTCTTTAACAATTATCTATCCTGGTTTCCAGGAAGAATGACCCAGAATCTGAGTGATTTTCTCATAAGTAATTTACTCACCAGATCACAGTCACCCAGATCTAATTTCTCTAATGATGAGTTAATTTGTAGCATTGCAGCAAAAAACATTCCTCCTTTATTTTCGATCTTGTTTCCAGTCATTCTTAGGTATTTCAGAGTTGTATTCTTCTGAAAAGAACAGAATCAAAACTTGATTAAGTTTTTAATCAACAGAATTTTCTGTAGATTAGGAGTTAGGAGACCATATTACTACTGGAAGAGTCACCAATTTTTCATGGAGACAGAATAAGATATTTTCCTTAAAGGTAATATTCCATTTCCCACGATAGATAAAAATTTAGTTTAATAGGTTAGTAGAAAGAATGACCAGGAAACAGATGCCGAAATAATGAGTAGTAAGTGAAGCAGATTTTAATAAACTTGGCTTTCATTGGGAAATGTATAAACTTTCTAAGAAAATTATACTTTTTTTCTAATTGAGATTCACATAACACAAAATTAACCATTTTAAAATATACAAGAAATAACTGGCTTTTATCATATTTAATGTTGTTTAGCCATCACTTCTAGCTAGTTCCAAGACATTTTTATCACCCGCAAAGAAAACCCTGTACCTATTAATCAATCATTCCACATTCCCCCGCATCACTTTTAAAGTGATACAATTTCTCAGATAGTTGCAAACTTTGATTCCTTCTCTTATTCACTATTTTGGTAAATCTTTCACAAAATTACAGATGTTTCATTGTTCTAACAAAAAACATTAGAACATATAAGTGTAAATAAATATCCTTAAAATTAAATCAAACCCCCTAAGAGCAGGAAGAAGGCAAGGATGTCTACTCTTACCACTTAATTATTTAACATTGTACTGGAGGTTCTAGACAGGGTACTAGGCAGGAAAAACAAACAAAAGAACATCCAAGATGGAAAAGAAAGAAACTGTTTGCATATGACATTATCTTATATGTGGAAAATCGTAAGGAATTCATCACAATAAAGCTGTTAGAATACATGAGCTCAGCAAGACTTCAGGACACAAAATCAGTATGTAAAATTTTTTTACAAAGTCAATTACATTTTTATATACTAGCAATGAACAAAAGTGAAATTAGGTAAATTTTTACAAAAGCATTAAAACATTTACAATATTTTAAATATATCTGCAGTTACAAAATTATAATAGCATCAAAAAATAAAACAGAAAAAAATTTAGCAAAAGAAAAGCAAAATTTGCACATTAAAAACTACAAAGCACTGTTGAAAGAAATTAAAAGTCCTAAATAAATGGAAACATATCCCATGTTCATAGATCAGAACACTTAATATTGTTAAGATGGCAATACTCCCCAAATTGATCTAAAGATGTAAAGGAATTACTCTCAAAATCCTAGCTGCTTTCCTTGCAGAAATTAATAAACTGATTTTAAAATTCATATGGAAATGCATTGCACCCAGAAAAGCCACCATAATCTTGAGAAAACGACAAAGAGGATTCACACTTCCTGACTCAAAGCTTACTACAAAATTTCAGTAATCAAGATAGCATGAGACTAGCATAAGGATAGATATATAGAGTAATAGAATAGAATGGATAGTACAGAAATAAATCCTCACATTTATTTATAATCAATATTCGATAAGGGTGTCAAGAAAATTCAATGGAGGAAGAAGAGTTAACAAATGGTTATTAGGGGAACTGGAATGCACATACAAAGGAATTAAATTAGATTCCTACCTCACATCAGATTCAAAAATTAACTCAGAATGGATCAAAGAACTAAAAGAGCTAAAACAAAAATATGTTAGTGGAAAACATAAGTGTAAATCTTTGTGATTTCAAGTTAGGCAAAGTTTTTTTTTAGAAATTACACCAAAAGCACAAACAACAAAAGAAAAAGTAGGTCAGCTGAACTTCATCAAAATTAAAAATTTCATGCTTCAAAGGACACCATTAAGAAAGTGAAAAGACAGCCTGCAGAATCACAGAAAATATTTGCAAATCATATGATCTCGCATCCATATATATATATGAATAAGTCTTACAACTCAAAAAAATAAATAATCCAATTTAAAAATGAGCAAAGGATTTAAATAAACATTTATCCAAAGAAGATAAACAAATGGCTATTAAGCACATAAAAAGATAGTCGACATTCATTACAGAAATGCAAATCAAAACCACAAAATCTCTCACACCCACTAGGATAACTAAAATCAGAAAGAAAGTAAGTGCTGGTGAAAATGTAAAGAAACTGGAATACATACATTGTTGGTGGAATTGTAAAAGATCTTTAGAGAACAGTTTGGCAGTTCCTCAAAATGTTAAACAGAGTTACACAATGATCCAGCAATTTCACTCCTTGGTATATCCCAAAAAACTGAAAACATGTGCACACAAAATATGTGCTAATATTCACAGTAGCACTATTCATTACAGATGAAAAGTGGAAACCCAAATGTCCATTAACTGACAGATGAATAAAACATGATGGAACACTTCTCCAAAGAAGAAATTCAGGTGGCCAACAGGCACATGAAAAGATGCTCCACATCACTAATTATCAGGGAAATGCAAATAAAAACCACAATGAGATAACACCTCACACCAGTTAGGAAGGCCAACATAGAAAAGAGTAGGAACAACAAATGCTGGCGAGGCTGTAGAGAAAGAGGAACCCTCCTACACTGCTGGTGGGAACGTAAACTAGTTCAACCACTGTGGAAAGCGGTATGGAGGTTCCTCAAAAAACTAAAAACAGAAATACCATTTGACCCAAGAATTGCACTCCTAGGAATTTACCCTAAGAATGCAGGATCCCAGTTTCAAAAGGACATATGCACCCCTATGTTTATCACAGCACTCTTTACAATAGCCAAGAAATGGAAGCAACCTAAGTGTCCATCAGTAGATGAATGGATAAAGAAGATGTGGTCCATATACACAATGGAATATTATTCAGCCACAAGAAGAAAACAAATCCTACCATTTGCAACAATATGGATGGAGCTAGAGGGTATTATGCTCAGTGAAATAAGCCAGGTGGAGAAAGGTAAGTACCAAATGATTCCACTCATCTGTGGAGCATAAGAACAAAGCAAAAACTGAAGGAAGAAAACAGCAACAGACACACAGAATCCAAGAATGGACTAACAGTTGCCAAAGGGAAAGGGACTGGAGAGAATGGGTGGGAAGGGAGGGAGAAGGGGAAAAGGGGGCATATGATTAGCACACATAACGTGGCAGGGGGGGGACACAGGGAAGGCAGTATAGCACAGAGAAGACAAGTAGTGACTCTGTAGCATCTTACTACTATGATGGACAGTGACTGTAATGGGGTATGTGGTGGGGACTTGATAATGGGGAAATCTAGTAACCACAATGTTGCTCATATGATTGTATATTAATGATACCAAAAAAAAAGTGATGGATCCAAACAATGAATATTATTTTTTGATACTAAGAAATAAAGTATATTACAATATGGATGAACCTTGAAAGCACTAAGCTACAAAAGGCCACATGTTGTATGATTCCATTTATATGAAATGTCCACAATAGGCAAACTATAGACGGAAAGTAGATTAGTGACTGCCAAGGGCTGGGGAGTGAGGGAGAGAAGCATGGAAAGGGATTGCCAGCAGGCGGAGTTTTATTGGTGGGGGTGGGGGTGAAAATGTTCTAAAAACAGTGACAGTGGTGATGGTTGCCCAACTCTGAACACACTAAAAACTCCATTGAACTAAGCACTTTAAAAGGGTGAGTTCTTATGTATGTGAATTATATCTTAAACTATTTATTTCTAAAAATTCAAAAATGCTCTTGTAATGTTCACATTTTAATAAATTGAAGTTCAATAATAATATACATTCACACAAGATTAAAACAGCAAGTTCACATCAATATTTGATTCTGTTGTTCCAAGCTATCAGAAGTTAAAATTCCCAAATGAAATCTTAATTTGAGGTATATAAATGCTTACATGAAGTGCTTTAGCAATCAATTCTCCACCTTCAGGCCCAATATCATTAAACATAAGATTTAAGTAAATGAGAGTATTCTGTTTCTATGATAAGGAGAGAAAAGAAACTATTACACATGTATTGTTAGAAATCAATCAGTATTACATAAAAGCTGCTTTAAGTAAAAGTGTTTACCTCCAAAGAAAATATAACCCAGAAAAATCTGAAAGTCCAGTAAAAGAAATTACCATTGACAAAAAGCCACCACTCTATTTTAACATAAGTATGATTGCAATATGAATGAAAGAAAAGCTTAAAGTATGGATGTACTTTATATATTTAACCGTTATGTACAAGTTTGCAAAAAATGACTCAGGAGCTCTAGGTACCAGGCTCTACTGAGACCAAATATTCAAATGGGTTTTCAGTATATTTCAAGTGTTATAAATATCACACTAGTTCAGGACCCTTGACATTTTGCAAAACTAGTGCTGTGTGTGTATGCCATTAGATTAGTTGTTTTCACTGTAAACAGAGAAAAAAATTTTGATAATGATATTTTTTGCAGCATTTTTATTTGTGATTGCCCAGAATAACTTGGTTACTCCATTTTTTTTTTAATCTTCACTCCATCCTCACATCGTACACCATTTCATGGATATGAGAATTTTAAAATCATTTTAAGCTCATCAGAAGCACTTTCAGCTTGGTACAAGTTGTTAGGAAATTACAAAGCCAGTTTAAGGAGGAATAAAAAAATGATACATGTCTGCTGCTTTAAACATTTTAACTGAAAATACAACCATCCACATGTTTGCCAATCTTCTGAGGTTGAACAAGGCCTTCCCTGTAAGTATGCCTACTCTGACTGGTGAACCACACTGTCTTTCTTAAATGAAATGCAACCATAATACAGCACCTCAGCTTGGGTGTCCCAAAGTGAAGTCTGCAAGAAAGCTCAAACCCTTCACCCAGAAAGGATTGGTTCTTGACTGGCTCCTGGGATTAAAAAAAAAAAAGAACTAAGAAAATTTTGTAGTAAAATAATACCTGAAGCAGTTTTGCAGCATAGTATGCACCAACATCATTTAGGAGGTTATATCTAACATCCAAACCTGAAGAACATGGATGAATAGAAGCTGGTATTCCTTACAATGAACGAAATCAGGAAAATGAAAGCAGGAGGTAATGATTCTTAAGGAGGCATACCATTAATATATGGATTTGTCTTTAAAATTTTGGAAAGAATCCAAAAATCTTCACCTGTTACTTTTTCTACTGGCATTAAGCGACTGTTACCAGCAATGTTTAATGTGATTCCTTTCAATCTGTTAAATCACAAAATAAGAAACGCAGTAAAGGAATAAAAGTATTTTTGTTTCATGTGTAAATAATAACATCATGGATAGCATTTACTGGAACCAAGTATGAATCACAGTATAGATTTATACCAAGTAACTTAAAACTACTAAATATTTTACAGATTTTGCAACGCACTTTCATACATACTGTATAACTTAACCTCTCTCACACACGAAAGAAACAAAGTATCCCCACTTGAAAATGACATTGACAACTTCAATGATTTGCATAAATAAGCAAAGTTCACAGTAATTAAGGACAAATATGGAATCTAGACTTTGAGTATGCCAGTCCAGTGTTCTTCCCAGTATATTCCACTACCTCCAAGACCTACTAACAGTGTCAGTCATCTACTTCTCTGAATCGAAAGGTATATGTCCATTGTATCATGTTTTAGCACAAATGGCTTTAAAATCGCTCAATATTCCAGCATTTTCTCACAGATGAACTATCAGTAAATACTGCTGATGTAATCAAGTATTTGCCATTCTTACCTCTTTTCAATTTCATCATCCACTTTTTGGAGAATATGTAATATAAAAGGATTAACTTTCTTGGACTTTTCCATACATAGATCGTAATAATGTTCCTGGAGACTGCCAATAGGTTCTGGAGTTTTTGAAAAATAAATGCATTATCATTCACCACATGTAAATTCTACCAGGGGCTTTTTTTTTTCTGAAACAAAAAATTACACTTCTTTAAAAGACATGAATGTGTGTGAGGGTGTGGTGGGGGGGGGGGAAGAAAAAGAGAATTAAGAATAGAGAAAGAAGAGAAACATAAAAGGAACACAAGGGTCAGGAGAACAGAAGCACCCACTGAGGGAGAGCAGACACTAACTTAGAAGGGATACAAAAGGAGAACTAACAGGCCTGGCAGCTGAGGAAAATGATGTCTAGAGGAATTAAGTATTTTGTCCAAAATAAGGCAGCTAATAAGAACACAGTACAAATGAACTCCAAAACCTCTTTGCACTCTGCCACACTGGCTAAGGGTGCCTCAAGGTTTCTTACAATGGCTTCAAATAAAGACAATTTTATCAGAAAATCTAAATTCAAAAGGCAGCTGAAAACCACCAAGTACCATAGGCTTTCTGAATGCCCTCGGTTGCATGCAGGTTGATGGCATGTTTGAATACAGCTCTTTTGATTCTGCCTAACACCTAGTTGAAAACTGGCTCATAGAAGCTCTTCACCTATCTTGTACTTCATTTCCTCTCTCTGAAGGTGATTTTCCCCTGTTCTGTCCTGAATAAAGAAGGCAGAAACAAAGCAGAAGATGAGCTCTCCTTCCTACTATAGCTGTAGGTTTTCTTAATGGTCTTATTGGTTTTTTTGTTTTATTTGTGTGTGTGTATATTCTTACTAGTTTCAATATTACTTTAAAAGGATCTTTTCTGAGGCGCAGACCTTCTGAGTGGAAGCTATGCTGTCACTTTTCTTAGAAACCCATACCACTGTTTTCTGTCCTACCTCTTGTATATGTCTCTTTTAAAATTTGTGCCCAGAGATCTCACTACTCAAACCAGCTAGTGTCTTCAGGAGTCAGCTTCTGAAAGTCTACATCTCAAAGACGTTCTATGCTGAATGGCTTTCTACACTGCATGAACTAAAGAGTTTGCTAAACAAATTTGCAAAGCAAGTTTTAAGATAAGGGACATTAAAAATGAAAGCATATAAATTTTGCTTATAATTTCTTAAAATGAGCTTTTAAAAAATAAGTTTAACCAGGGGCATTATAATTAGCACACATGATAAAGGGAGGTCATGGGGAAGGTAGTATAGCATCGAGAAGATAAGTAATGACTACAGCACCTTACTACGCTTATAGACAATGACTGCAATGGGGTGTATGTGGAGGACTCGATAATATGGGTGAATGTTGAAACCACAATGTTGCTCATGTGAAACCTTCATAAGATTATACATCAATGATACCTTAATTTTTTTAAAAATAATAAGTTTAACCTACACTTATTCCAGACAGCTTGGAAACTTTACAAAAAAAAAAAAAGCATTCATCATTAATCCCTCTGCTAAAATTACCACAATTGAGAGCTAGGGATATTTCCTCCCTATTGGTTTTCTTTTATGTGTGTATATATAAACATTTTAAAACAAATCAGAATGTATCAGTATAGTTTATTTTCTTTTTCAGTTAACATTATGTTAACTAGATATTCTCTGAATAACTAGATATTCTCTGAAAATGGTTAATGTCAATAAAATTTCTGCCTTGTATCATCAAATAAGTTTGAGAAGTGCTAAATTAAAGCTCAACAAACCCCTATTTACACTTCTCAGGACGTATAAAACACTCAGGTGCACAGAGACTTTTCAAATTATTGAGACTGAAGGGGTGGGAAGATGGGAATGTCCATTTCCCAGACTAGTGTGACCATGCTCACTTGAAATGCAATCTAGGAAATGCTAGTTTAGCATCCTACACAGGAAACAGAACAAGTAGACCTCGAACAGATTTACTTGGAGCTGGGCTCTCACTGGGCTTCTTTCCACCTTTCTGGCTGCTGCCTACCTTGGTATTAAAAAAAGAGGACTGCTCAATGTCTCTTGAGGTTCGGTACCTGCACTCAGCTGGCTGCACCACAACTAAGACAAGCAGAAATGTGTTGGACCTACAACTCAAGTTTTTGTGAATGGCATGAAGGAATCTTAGATTACAAGCTAAATAAAGCTACAGTCACAGAGAAGACAAGTAGTGACTCTGTGGCATCTTATTACACTGATGGAAAGTCACTGCAATCGGATATGGTGGGGGACTCAATAATATGGGTGAATGTAGTAACCACATTGCTTTTCATGTGAAACCTTCATAAGGGTGAATATCAGATACCTTAATAAAAATAAATAAATAAATACAGTTACAAAAAGTTATAAGAATATTCTTATTTAATTACCTGGTCATGGATTTAAAGTATTTAAAAGTTTCTGTTATATTTTTCTGCTACTCCTATTTAAAATTCAATTCTAAGTATTTCAGGATTTCATGTCAGGATTCTATTGTATGTAGTACCAAAAGTTTGTTTCTTATATTGTATTCATATTAGAAGAATAAATCAGTCTTCAAATTGTAAAGCAAAAACTAGGAATAACCAGTTAAAAATGAAAATGTCAAGAACTAACCCAAATTTCATTTTTCGTTCACACCTAAATCTTAAACTCTCAATGATTTTCACTTAACAGCACGTTTTAAAATTTCTAGGGGAACAGCTCACTTTGGAAGTGGTTCTCTGCCCTCTCCTAAACGTAACAGCCAAGTGCTGGGAAACTGAAGGATCAGGATGGAGAGGGAGTCAAGCCTGGGTGCCTATTCAGAATTGACTGTGTTACCTAAATTCTCCAATCTGAAATTTCTTCTTATGCTAAAGGCCGAGCATAACAAAGCCCATCTCACGGATGCAGTGAGGAATACGTACGGCTTCGGGCACAGTTACAAACCTACAAGCACACACTTTAAAACAAGCGTCCAAAGTGGAAATGGTGGGGGAGAAGGGGTGTACAGGCTATACTTAATTTGCCAGAAATATTTAAAACGGAGGTGGCACAGACGTGCAAAGTTAGAAACGTCTCCAGACCCTCTTGCCCAGCTGGACACAAAAAGGGGGCCCGAGAAGGGCACGCCGACACCCTTCCCGGACACTAGAGGGCAAAGCGACAGACACACCTTCCTTCAAGACACCTAACAGGCGAAGGGCGGGCCCACCGCGGGGACTTGGGGCTCCCTCCCCGCCTGCGCTGGGGACGGCCCTCAGTTCCGGCTACATACAGCTGGGGTTCCCTGGGGCACCTCCCGCCGCGCCGCCTCAGGCGGCAGCCTGCTCCGAAGAACCGGCTGTACGACCTTGCAGCTCCGGCGCCAGCGCCCCTCGCGCATTTCATCGGCCCAGGAGGGAGCCGAAGGACACCCTGTTCCTTACCGCTACCGTCTGCCAGGGCCCAGGCTGGAGCAGGAGTCGCAGTACGGGCTGCAACGGGAGATGGGAACCTGGCCGGGTTGGCCTCATCCGGGGGGCGCGACATCCCGCTCTTACCCAGCGGGCCGCGGCCGCGTTGTCATGACGACCGTGCGCATGCGCCTTCCCTAGCCTGGGCCTGCTGGTGCCTCGCCTGGCGTTCAGCAAACCGCAGCACGCTCGGCGCCGAGCCCAGCCCGCTGTGCTTCACGCTGCCGTTATCCGCGTGGGCCCAAAGGCCTGCCTGGACAGGCAGTGCCCGCCAATGCTGTGGAGGCTCCAGGTCACCCTGCGCTGAATTAAAGACACACTGAGGGAGGGTGTCCCAGTTCCTTCGCAGGGAGAAATTCTCAAGGTTTAGTGAGCACAGCTGATGAGCTAGGGGCTGGGACTATGTCTTGCCAAGGGCTTTCAGCCCCTAGCAAGTTCGCTATAGATTGAGTGTGACCAAAGAAATGACAGTAGAACGTTTCTTTGCGGTGAAAGGGTTTATTACCCGCCTCATTCTCCCGACAGCGTAGCAACAGGCTAGTGACATCATCAGGTAGTTTAAGTTCAGTGAGGATCCTGGCCATAGGAGCCCTAGCTTCCCCACACTCCACCCCTCCAGGGTTCTCGCCTTACAATCTACACACTCTCAATCTTCTGCAATGGTCCCTGTGCGAGAAAGCTAGAGCACTGTAACCAGATTCCACAACAGCAACAGAGGATAATAACAACTTAGAGATAATAACAAAAATTAACATACAACAAAATTTTGATACAGGTAACAAAAATTATAATAATCCTTAAGCCAGAGGAAGTTCCCAATCCATAAAGATCTTAGGGACAATAAGAAATATGTTTTAATGACACCAACATAGACAAATCTTGTCCATCAGGTAGGATGCATGCAAGAGAGTGGTCCTGTAATAGGACTGTAGCAGGAAGGGGGGCCCTTCCAGGTCTAGTATACAATACTTTTACCCCTTTCCCCGTGGGGGTTACTGAAGGGTCTATATATAGTGCTACTGGAGGTGCATGCACTGGCCACAATGATAAAACAAAACTCCCGATAAGATGCTCCTACCTTCTGGCCATTCAGGATATACTACTGTGACCTTTGGCGGCCACTCTGCTGTTATTCCAGGAATACACAGGAGGCCAGCTTCCAGGCCATGTCCCTAAGGTGCCAGGAGAGCCAGCCATCGTTAGTCCATGTGTTGAAAGGTCCAAGGCCACATCCACTCAATAGAGCCTCTGAGGTTCAGTGCAGTTGGTGCTGGCAGCAAGATGTTATTCTGGTGGCCAAACCTTGGCCTCAGTGATTCTTTCTTGTTTTGTACTTGCAGTTGTATAGGGGAGGCAGCCATATGTGTTAACATGTCTACAGCGCTCAGGGCTCCCTTTCAGGGTCTCTAATTCAAATGCTGTAGCACAGTCCATAAGCAGACTGATCACCCCACAGACTATTGGTATCTGACTTTAGTCTGGATTTTCACAAGCCATTGTCCCTCTCCATCATGCCTGCTGCAGTAGGATTGTATGGCACATGAAACTTCCATTTGATTCCCAGCTGTCGCACCCATTCTGACAGTTTATGTCCAGTAAAATGGGTGCCCTAATCACTCTCAATTACCTGTGGTTGGCCATAGGCAGCAAAGAGACGCTCCATGCCCCTTTTGGTCGCCTGCTGGTCTGCACAATGGGTAGGAAAAGCAACCAGAAGTCCAGTAGCTGTGTCCACACAAATCATAGCATATCGGTGGAGGCCCAATATAGTCTAACTGCCACCTGATGAGGGGTATAGGCCCATGTTGCTGTGGAACTCCATGTAAGTCTCTTTGGGAGCACACGACACACTCCTGCCAGGCTCTACTAACTTCTTCAAAGGTCAAAGTCAAGCCCCAGATGGGCTATAGCCCATATTGCCTTTTGCCCCACATGCAACATATGTTGATGTAACCATTGGGCTACATCAGGGCAGGCTTTCCTTCTAACCAACATATCTGGGCCAATTTATCTGATTCATCATTTCCTGGGGATGCCAGTGGCAAATGACCTGTCATATGGTATACTATAATTATTTTAGTCTTAACACAGGCCCATAAGTCTTGCCACAATTCTTGCCCCCAAAGGGGCCAGTGACCAACCAGCCAGTTGGCATGGTACCAGGTTGGTAGCCACAGGGTCAAGCCCCAATAGAAGGCCCAGCTGTCAGTGCAGACAACTATAGGGGAGGGTTCTTGGGTGATCACAAGCCACATAGCCCGCAACTCTGCCCATTGGCTGCTCTTCCCCTCACCATCTTCCATCCATATTGTCTCAGTCTTAGGATGGAAAGTTACAGCCCTCCATTGTGGGGGCTGACCATGGTCTAAGCCATCTGTGTACCATCCATCTTTGGGTTTAGGGGCTCTTCCCTCCCAATAAGGACTCTCTGCTACTAATGGTTCAAAAGCAAGTTATTCCTGCTTCTCACTAGTATATGTCACCACCCCCAGTAAGTGTTGGAATTCTTCACTCAAGGGGCTACTAGAGAGGGCCCTATGCTGCTATAGGAAAGCACCCCACTTGGCCAGCATGGGTGTTTGTGTCACAACACTCCTTGGCTTTTGGGTCCAGTCTCGGACCCACCCCAAGATGGGATAGGTGGTTATTACCTTTATCGGGGCCTTCCCAGTGATGGGTTCTATAGCCAGCAAGGCATGATACATGGCAGCCAATTGTTTTTCTATCAAAGTGTATTGTACGTTTGCCCCTTTCCAGAGTTGAGAACAGAATCCAATAGGTTGGTGAGTTTGTTCAAGCCGCTGCCAGAGACTCCAGGAGACCCCGGCCATAACCATCTTCAGGGAATCTGCAGAGGTTTGGAGCTCACGTTCTCGTGCCTCTATTTCTTGGGTCTTCTTCAGGAGCCTGTCCTTCTCTTCTGTAGACTTTTTTAATACTGTGAGAGGCAGCCAAACCACAGTCCCTGCTGCCTTATGGGCACTCTGTCTCTCAAAATACCTACTTACTATACACCAAGGGCTATCCCTACTGCCTCAGGTATCACCTCCACTTGCCTCCAGTCTTGGGGTGGGGCCCAGCCCTCTAGGAGGTAAGCCACCTCAGACCACATACCCATTGGGGGACAATCCACTGTCTCCCCATTCACAGGGGCAGCCTGCTGAAGCACCCCTCCCATAAGGGCAGCCTGTCTTTTTCCTTGGTCAACAATGAACCCTGCCAACTTTGCCGATTGTCTTACCAATGGGAGATGTCCGGGCAGGTTCACTATGGATTTAGTGTGACCAAAGAAATTGACAGTAAAATGTTCTTGGGGTGAAAGAGTTTATTACCTGGCTTGTTCTCCCTGTGGTAGGTCGAGCACTAGCATCTCTGCCTCTGCCCAGAGCACTGGGCTGAGCTCTCCATATAGTGCAATAATAGCTTATTGCCTATGGGTGTGGAAGCGGTAGCTTAGCAACAAGCCAGTTACATCATCATGTGGTTTAAGTTCAGTGAGGATCCTGGCCATAGGAACCCCAACTTCCCCCACATACTAAGTTAGTGTCCAGAGAGAATTAGAGAATTGCTGTGGAAAACCCACACATTTGGTGTTACAGGTGCTTTGTGATTAGAAACCACACAGTATGGGGATACTGAAATGCTTTGGATGTTTTCTTAAGAGAAATGGAAGAAAAAAAACCTCTGTAATTTAATAATGAGCTCTGAAAAATTTGTAGAGGGAAGAGTTCTACCAAGCCGGATCTGATAACTGTTCTTTTGAAAACCCTGATCAACCACCTAAAGGTGAAAAGGCTTAGAGGAAAATTTTTTTTAAACCGGAATTGTTAGCCTGTGCTCAGCAATGTGCCCCCATCCCCACTGTTGTCAAATTATTGATCTGAAATAGCTTCTCTGGACTTGTTTCCTATAAATAGACTCAAAAGTGTCATTTTACCCATTTTCAAAAGTGTTTCTATCCTTCATTCCTGTACCCATAACACCATACTATGGATCCAATAATTCATAGATAAAACCTTTTCTTTAGAATTTGAAATTACATTGTGCAAGAATGAACAAGAAGCTTTGGGGCACTATTCCAGTACTAATCACTGATACACTTTTTCATCTCATAAGATGATAAGAATGTAAACTTTGCATGCAACTCACTCTTTTATCCCTAGGAAAAGTCATTTTTAAATAGCAGGGCACTATGGGGAAGATGGGGTTCCTATAGCCAGGATCCTCACTGAACTTAAACCACTTAATGATGTAACTGGCCTTTTGCTAGGCTACTGCTTCCACAACGGTAAGCAATAATCTATTATTGCGCTATATAGAGAGCTTGGCCCAGTGCTCTGGGTGGAGGCAGAGATGCCAGTGCTTGACCTACCATCGGAAGAACAAGCCGGGTAATAAACCCTTTCAACCCAAAGAAACATTCTACTGTCATTTCTTTGGTCACACTGAATCCATAGCAAACTTGCCGGGGGCTGAAACCCATTGGCAAGACAGGCACTAATTTTGCTGTCTGCATATTCAATATCTAAATGCATGTATGCAGGAAGAACACTGAAAGTCATTTCTTCAGACTCAGAAGATTCAACTGGAAATTTGCACCATATGGTATTTGCTAGCACTTCAGTTAAGCCATCAGATGACTGGAAAAATAACTAATGGATATGTTAAATATTCTCCTAGATCCTTTGAGTTCTATCCCTGTGTTGTCAGAAAACAACATACCTTAACCCTGTCACCTGTGTTTCCTCAAGACATGGCTTCCTTCAGTTATAATTAAACTCCATGCTGTTGACTTTTTAAATAGAGTTACAGTAATCATTTGGAAACTATTTCTGGCTCTTCTACAGAACTGTAGTCAAAGACATGTCTATTAAGTTACTTATATAAAGATACCCTACTAGACCTTCCTACTACAAGGTACCAGAGAAATGTAAATGCTGCCTTTTATTAAAGCATGGGGACTACATACCCTCATATATTCTCTTTTGTTTTGACTTCTAGAAAACTCAGATTCAAGTTAAGCCTGCATTCTGGGTTCTTGACACGTAAGCCCTCACTGAATCTACTTAAGTTTCCTTGAAGCTGACTCAGATCATCTCACTCCGCTGCCTCCCACCCTCAGGTCAGTGATTCTTAAAGACTTTTTTTTTTTTCTTTTAAACTACGTCCCCTCCTTCATCTGGAAATCATTGGGGGTGATGA